AACATTTGCCTAGCTTTGGCCATTCTGTTACGCTTTCGCCTCGAGATCGGGGGCCACCGCTGTCCCACTTTGGGCGATGTTGCCTGCTTAAGCAAGTCACCTGGTTGCCTTCGGCTTCCTGCCGAACTGTATTTAGTAATCTGTGGCGAAGCAATCGGGTAACGTGCTGGTTTAAGTGCCCAGCTTTATCGAGCCCTTGCTCGAACAGGGTTTCCTGAAGAACATGAGAGGAAGCCACACGCGGGGTTGTAAGAGCATTCTGCGCAAACAGACCCGCTCCCTGACTTAGTGGCTCTCAAGCAAGCTACTATAGTACGTAACCAGCCATGTTCCTTGTATTGTTTAAATGATCATTCCCTTTGTCACCCATCTGGGCTGTTAACAATCAATCCTTAATCCTTGTGCCAGATGGTAGTGGTTTCCTCGTTGTTATGCTGTCTCGCTACAGATTGCGGATCCCCTCATTGTCAGCCAACCCGACCTACTATACACCGGGGCCCTACAATATTTCCTTTATTTCGTCGTGTTGATTCAGACATCACCTTTTTGGCCTTCTTTGCCGGTGAGATTCTCCTAGTAGGGGCGATGTTTAAGGGGAAATCACATGGCTGTGTCAGTTCACTGATTACGGGCTCTCGACCCATGGCCAAATGGACTCACATGATGTCGGCTTGCAGGACTTCCTAAAGCACGTGGACGAGATCACGCAAGCTGCGATCCAGGCGACCACGCGACCACGCGGACGTTGGGCCTGACTTGCACCGACGCAGCATACACACCCATGCACATGGCCAGCACATAGACATGACTTCGAGATAGACACAAAAGCACATGCCCAAGCACATCCCATTATGAGGAAATTTTCAAATTTATCTATTGTGATTGGACCATCAGCTTTGCCCAGCATTTGTTTTCACAGTTTGAAATTTGCGAGTGCCATTGACACTGGCACTTTCATGTGCTGAAGTTGTCACAGTTGGGGGTGTTTGACTGGGCAAGATGGGCTTCTCCAGTGGCTTCCTTTGCGAGCAAAACAATTGGAGGTCCGGATTGGGGGGCTCATGGCAAATACCATCCCAAGAGACATATATATATATATAAATATCAAACAGCCCAGAATGTTTGATCAGGAAACCCGAACGGGACGGGAACACAATTTTGAGTTTTTCAGGCCTCGATGTCACACCCGCAAGGTTGCAGAGGTGTTTTTGCCCTTTGCACCTGCCCGAGACCTGGCAGGTGCAAAAAGCAGAGACCGGGGCCCATGGTTTGCCGACTCTCGAATTGCCGCTGGGTCGCGGGCTTCAAGTTAGCATTCAGGGATGTGGGTTTGGTCGTCGGCACGTCGTGGGCACGTCGAACGTATGTGTTGCAACCCTGCACAGGTCTTGATTTCCTTTTTGCTTTCTGTTAGAACCGTACTGAAACGTATCCCAGCCAAACTGTTTCACTCCAATAAGCTTCCAGTAGTTCTTGCATACATTTAGGGATCCTGTGTTGTTCAAAGAAGATGAAGCGAACGGAGTTGCTTTGATGTGTTTCCAGGCTGCTGGTATGACTGTGTGGTTGTTGGACTATGAGGTCCGGTCAAGCTGGTAGTCCACGTGGGACATGGAGGACTCGAGCTTTCCATGGCCCCAAGAAGTGGCCTTACCGACCTGAAGGGGACCCTCAATTGAGGTATGTGTCAACATAGTCGCCCCCGAGGAGAGAAGGGCTAAAAAGAATCATACTGTTGGGTTTCTTGTTAAACCAACTTTATGAAGGGTACCTTCAAATGGCACACCTCAAACACGCACTCATTTGGCTAGATTCCTCACTTCCGGCTTTAATCACTCTTTGGGAAGACCATGTTTAGTGGTAAACAAGAAGAGTTCGGATTTTGTTGGCCCGTCAACTCAGGATAAAGACTTCAGGCCGTCGAGTTGGTGATTTCGGCCAGGAGGCGCTCTCTGCCGGAGTGCGGCTCATCGACAGTGGGAACCGTCCTGCCGGCGAATCGATTTTGATCAGGGATCACTCGAGTTGAGCTTTACACTTGTGAAGACCATGGCAAACTCACAATTTCTACTTGATACAGCCAAGACCAGTTTAGTGGCACATCATTTTTTGTAGCGAACCCACTCAAGAAGTGAAGGGCTAGGACACGTTGGCCTTAAATAGCATCTCTTGCTGCATTCAACATTCGCAGATGCAAGCTGTTCGACCCTGACAAGTGCTTAGGGTAGTTGGACCGTGGGGGAATTGGCCGTCAAGACAGAAGAAAAGGGCACGGGTCCAAGCAGCAGGACGTAATCTAATTATGGAAAATCCTCTAATTGGGGGCATGTGTGTTGTGGGATGCATAAATAGAATCTCTCCTTGTATCCAGCGCCAGGGCAGATGAACCAACAGAGTGTCGGCCGAGCACTGGAGCGCGCCTCTCGACGAGAATGGAGTGAGAGCAAGTTGCGCGGGAAGCGAGCTGTTTGGAAGGACAAGGGTGGCCCACCCAAACTTCCCGCTCAAACCGGCGCACTCGCTTTCCCTTTGTCCTCTTCGGGAAGCAAGTCATTCAGTCCAGGGCTCAAGTGGAGTGCAGTGCGATGGTCCATTGTGCAATAGCGACCTCTCATGCCGATTGGAACATTTGCCCATGATCAAAGCTTCTTTGCCTATTCATTTGTGGCTAACGCATGAAGCCATGCCGCAAACCTTGTGACGCAGCATGACGCAGCATTTCGTTTGGGGCTTGAGAACAGTTGGCCAAGATTGCCAAATACCTGGTTCAATACTTTGCCATGAATCTGTCGCAAGCCCCAAAGGGGGCGCTAGGGGGATGGTCATCAAGCCTGGGATGTGTGCGGCAGCTGGTATGAGAGATGGGGAAGCAAAACGCGACACCTCGAAGCTGGGCCTTGCAATTTACTGCAAGTTGATGTGCTTGCACAATTTGTAGAGTCCACTGTACTTGTGATGCCTTGGAGAGGGTCGCTCGGCCAAGACTTGTATAAGAACCAAAGAAGCCGTGTTTGCTGAAATTACCCATGTCTTGGCGATGTTTGCCCTCTATCGGCCTGGAGTGCTTGCAGAGTTCCAGTGGGCTGTCTTCGGCCAAAAAGAGCCCTAGCTGCGGACATGCGCAGTGCTGAGAATGTTACTTCATGCAAGGCCATCATTTGTCAGCTTCTGATGTTCAATCCCTATACAGGGCTCCTTACAAGATGCATTTAGCCCATTTGAAACATGGCTTTTTCCACCAAAATAAAGGGACACCACCATTGACAAGGCAAGGTTCAGGTGTATAATGTAAGGAACCCTGCTATAGTAGGCTGCTTTGCTGCCAAACTTGCAGGTCGGCAGCGTGCGAATGATAGGGCCCTGCCTTGCGAGAACAAGTCCTTAGTTTGGCTGTGGCATTCTTGAAGTATGTTTTGGTTTGGTGGGGTTCCCCACTGCAAATGTACTCCTCAAAAAGGGTTCCCTTGTTCTACCGGGGACGCTGCTTGAACTGAGAAGTTACCTGAGAGGGGCTAGCTGACCTTCGAGGCCATGAGCGATGGCGTGGTCTCGCGCGGGGAGCTCTTCATCTCGGGGCGAATCTCAAAGTGCAAGGAGAGCCACGCATATGGCTGCGGGTCAAAACCGTTTTGGGATCCCATTTTGGGGGCCTGGTGCACCACCCATTTTAGAACCTATTTTAGTGGGGATTGGGATGTTGGGGGTACCGGATTTTGACCCATGGCCATGTGGCTTGTCTGATAGGAGAACCGCCCGAGAATTGGTGTTTTCCATTCGAGTTTCCTTTGAAACAAACTCCAAAAGGGTATCCTGTATAAAAGACGCGGGAAAGTCTTTCTGGGTTCAAAGTCAATCCACAAGATCCTTATGCCAGCTGGTAGTGCTTGTCCCAGAAAGGCGGCATGAAACGGCAAGCCTCTGGTAACATCTGTAGCTCCAGCTTTACGAGAGGCTGGTGCTGTTCAGTGTCCCCAAACGCAAGCTCATCGTGTCATTCGATGAGTCAAATTTCAAAAGGGATCTACCCTGAAAACTGTCCAAGCTACAACTTACAGCAATTCAGCGGTTTGAGGCTCCGCGAAAAAGAAGAAGCCTTGTTTAGCAATTGTAAGCGGTTTTGAAACCAGCCGAAAACTTAGATTGCGTGGTTCCAAATGGAGGATGTTTGCGTCATCCTGATCCGCCATCCTTGATGGGACACTACTACAACAGGGGAAACTGGGCTCTGCAAGCAAACAGAACATGTCCGAGGGCGGGCCTCAAAAATTTCCCCCATTAGGTCCAAAGGCAGACCCAGGGGGCAATGTACAAGGCTTTGTCCATTTCCTTTCGACATTGACCGCCATCTTGCTTGGCGTGTGTCGTTCGAGCACAGCTACGCCAGGCTTTGCGGATAGTGCGGATCCTAAACGAAACATGCCACAAACCGGGGGGTAAACTCCACTCACAGCCAGGACCGCGAGCAGATCCGGGGAGAGCTGGAGATGTTGCTCAGTGTCCCGGCGGATTCATAGGGGGTGTCCAACCAAAAGTGCGAGGAGTTCCTCTGAAATGAAAGCCCTAACTATAAAGCTATCAGGTGTAGCCCGGAGCTTCCGATCAATGGCCTGGGTTTGCGCTGCGTGCCCCGCGCCAAATCGAAGGGGAAAACCTTTCCAGATGTTCATTTCATGAGCTCGTTGGCCTGGCGCTTGGAGCTTAAGGCGTGCATCACGAACAAGCAATCCCGTTCCCTGCAGATGCAATGTCCCTTCTCAGACTGCTGGTTTTGTGTCCGTGTTGGAGTTCCCATCTCCAGAGTTCTTCTATTCAGATTCATAACTTTCGACAGTGGGACGCCCCAAAGTGGTTAGTTGTCCCTTAATACCAACATGGGTTGGCGTTGGCTGTTCGTGCTAGCTCCCTGCCGGTTCCTTGGTTCCCAAAAGCGCGGATGGTTTGGCCCAAGCGGCTCGGAGCGTATCGATCCGTGGGACTCGGGACGGAAAGTTGGCGCAGCCATGCCGGCAACAGCCTCGGAAAGTTGGCTGGGCGCGACGCGGGAGCAGGCGAGGTCAGAAGCTGGCGTTTATGTTTCAGGACGTTGGCCAGTTTGCACATGGGGTGCCAGTTCGTCAACATTGTCATGTGCTCACCGCCATAGTGGTGATCATGGTCTGTTTTACGTTTGGGTTTTTCGTGATGGTTTCCTTTGGTTGCAAAAGTGGCATTGGGACGCACTGGGCCGCTTGCCATGTTTCGCAGTCTGGATAGTTGTCGATGCAATTCCAATGAGGCTGCACATAAAGGTTGTGTAGCACCGGTGCGCAAGATGCCAAATGCCTCAAATGGTTGCACCACGACACAATTCGCCGCTCAGATGAACAACGCCTTCAACCAAGCGCCCAGTATGCAAGAGGTTGCAGCCAGGATGGGATTCAACGAGATGCCGCAGCGCCTTGGCAGTTTGAGCTGCTTTGGTTTGGTTTCAGGTCCAGTCAGGTGCCGGGAGCTTACTGGTGTCATTTGATGTTAACTCACTCTTCAGTACTTGGGTGGTGATGCTTTGCTTTTCCGTATCTGTTGTGTAACCTTCATCATGTTGTAGTTTATTGTTTTTCAATTGAAGTGGAGAACCGATTCGGGCTGAACTTTTCTTTGGACCCTCATTACACTGAACGCATGTGGCACGTGCCAGAATTGAGACCCCTAACGAGATTAGTGACACAAATGATGATGTCACCGACTGAAAGCATGAGAGGAAACCAAGGAAGTTGCGTCAATGTTTACCGAGTAGAAGAAGCGCCACTTCACCTGTGGAATGGGTCTAAGACGGCTTCCACAGCCTCAATCCACGCCTCAAACCACTGTCCGAGAGGAAAATTGGAGGTATATGCAACTGAGTGCTTGCCATAATACATCAGGAGGACGAAAGTTTATGCCTCTTGCTGGTTTCTACGAAGCCGTATGGATCGCCTGCGGGTCGAATTTCCAATTCGGTTTTGTGTGGCAGGGGCGGGACGGTCAATTATCACCCTCTTTTAAATTTAAAATACTTTAAAGGTTTTGGAGTGTGAAAATTCGACCACGAGTGACCCAGCATCGGCTTGCAGGATTCTAGGGGGAAAGGGTTGTGTTCTCTGAGAAGGCCTGAGAGGCGCAACTTTTGTCCTGGCAGTGCGTCACGGGAGGGGTGTTGGGTGACAGGCTGCAGACGAGCGATTCGCATTTTTCGCAATCTCTGCTGTGTACTGTACGACGGCTCTCGGCGCCAAAAGGCTAGGAAGAGATCTACGGGGGTGCGCGTGGGCAATTTCGGACCCGGAAAGCCTTTTATCATTACAAGTTCTAAAACGGTGTGTTACTTGACCGTCCCACGCCTGCTACACAAACCGCACTTGTTAATTCCATCCGCGGCTGACCGGGTAGAGTCTTTTGAAAGCAGCCAAGAAGCATAAACTTTCGTCTGGCTGAAGGGCAGTAAAGATAATTCAGTGGCACTCGCGGCTCCTTGGAAACATGTGGCTGCAGACAGCGTCACGGGAGGGGTGTTGGGTGACAGGCTGCAGACGAGCGATTTGCATTTTTCGCAATCTCTGCTGTGTACTGTACGACGGCTCTCGGCGCCAAAAGGCTAGGAAGAGATCTACGGGGGTGCGCGTGGGCAATTTCGGACCCGGAAAGCCTTTTATCATTACAAGTTCTAAAACGGTGTGTTACTTGACCGTCCCACGCCTGCTACACAAACCGCACTTGTTAATTCCATCCGCGGCTGACCGGGTAGAGTCTTTTGAAAGCAGCCAAGAAGCATAAACTTTCGTCTGGCTGAAGGGCAGTAAAGATAATTCAGTGGCACTCGCGGCTCCTTTGAAACATGTGGCTGCAGACACGTCACGGGAGGGGTGTTGGGTGACAGGCTGCAGACGAGCGATTGCATTTTTCGCAATCTCTGCTGTGTACTCCTTTGACGGCTGTCGCAGCGTCACGGGAGGGGTGTTGGGTGACAGGCTGCAGACGAGCGATTCGCATTTTTCGCAATCTCTGCTGTGTACTGTACGACGGCTCTCGGCGCCAAAAGGCTAGGAAGAGATCTACGGGGGTGCGCGTGGGCAATTTCGGACCCGGAAAGCCTTTTATCATTACAAGTTCTAAAACGGTGTGTTACTTGACCGTCCCACGCCTGCTACACAAACCGCACTTGTTAATTCCATCCGCGGCTGACCGGGTAGAGTCTTTTGAAAGCAGCCAAGAAGCATAAACTTTCGTCTGGCTGAAGGGCAGTAAAGATAATTCAGTGGCACTCGCGGCTCCTTTGAAACATGTGGCTGCAGACACGTCACGGGAGGGGTGTTGGGTGACAGGCTGCAGACGAGCGATTCGCATTTTTCGCAATCTCTGCTGTGTACTGTACGACGGCTCTCGGCGCCAAAAGGCTAGGAAGAGATCTACGGGGGTGCGCGTGGGCAATTTCGGACCCGGAAAGCCTTTTATCATTACAAGTTCTAAAACGGTGTGTTACTTGACCGTCCCACGCCTGCTACACAAACCGCACTTGTTAATTCCATCCGCGGCTGACCGGGTAGAGTCTTTTGAACCAAGCCAAGAAGCATAAACTTTCGTCTGGCTGAAGGGCAGTAAAGATAATTCAGTGGCACTCGCGGCTCCTTTGAAACATGTGGCTGCAGACAGCGTCACGGGAGGGGTGTTGGGTGACAGGCTGCAGACGAGCGATTCGCATTTTTCGCAATCTCTGCTGTGTACTGTACGACGGCTCTCGGCGCCAAAAGGCTAGGAAGAGATCTACGGGGGTGCGCGTGGGCAATTTCGGACCCGGAAAGCCTTTTATCATTACAAGTTCTAAAACGGTGTGTTACTTGACCGTCCCACGCCTGCTACACAAACCGCACTTGTTAATTCCATCCGCGGCTGACCGGGTAGAGTCTTTTGAAAGCAGCCAAGAAGCATAAACTTTCGTCTGGCTGAAGGGCAGTAAAGATAATTCAGTGGCACTCGCGGCTCCTTTGAAACATGTGGCTGCAGACACGTCACGGGAGGGGTGTTGGGTGACAGGCTGCAGACGAGCGATTCGCATTTTTCGCAATCTCTGCTGTGTACTGTACGACGGCTCTCGGCGCCAAAAGGCTAGGAAGAGACCTACGGGGGTGCGCGTGGGCAATTTCGGACCCGGAAAGCCTTTTATCATTACAAGTTCTAAAACGGTGTGTTACTTGACCGTCCCACGCCTGCTACACAAACCGCACTTGTTAATTCCATCCGCGGCTGACCGGGTAGAGTCTTTTGAAAGCAGCCAAGAAGCATAAACTTTCGTCTGGCTGAAGGGCAGTAAAGATAATTCAGTGGCACTCGCGGCTCCTTTGAAACATGTGGCTGCAGACATCAGGAGGACGAAAGTTTATGCCTCTTGCTGGTTTCTACGAAGCCGTATGGATCGCCTGCGGGTCGAATTTCCAATTCGGTTTTGTGTGGCAGGGGCGGGACGGTCAATTATCACCCTCTTTTAAATTTAAAATACTTTAAAGGTTTTGGAGTGTGAAAATTCGACCACGAGTGACCCAGCATCGGCTTGCAGGATTCTAGGGGGAAAGGGTTGTGTTCTCTGAGAAGGCCTGAGAGGCGCAACTTTTGTCCTGGCAGTGTATATACATGTATATATATATATATATTTATACACATATAATATGCTTCCCCCCTCCTGAAATACTCAGGCTTTTGCCCAGAACTCAGGTTTTAGGCCAGACTGTAGATGACAAATGCCTTGAGACTCTGAACTGAATTGACAGCACGTGCAACTCCACGCAAATTCCAACCCAGCAGAAGTCAAGCTCAACGTTGAAAAGGAGTTCCTATTTGAACAGCTCGAAAGTCACCTCGGCAGGCGCGAAATGCACTTAAAGTCACATTGGGGTATGCGAAGTGCGCTTTGAAAGCCCCAGCTCAAAAAGCGCAACTTTTCAGTACAAGAGTAGTGCAAAGTATGCTTTGGCAGCTTCAACGAGCCTGTAACAGCTCCATTATTGGTTTTATTATTTTGTCTGGCAGGGAAATGCAAATCATCAACTGGAACTCATTCCTACTTTCAACTGACATCCAAATCAAATATAAAAGTGCTTGATGTCCTTGCGCTTTTGCATACCTGTTACTTCAACTTTCTGTGAATGTTTCCATTTACATTTTATTCAATTTTATGTTTAGTTTAATTTGCAAAGCAACTTTCTCGGTTGCGCGTTGCTTACCTAATTCGATTCAATCATTTTCACTAACAACTATTGAAGTTCAGTTGTAAGAAGGATGTCCAATTTAAAGTGCTTTCGAGTTCAGACCAAATTCAGCTTTAGCCGGTTGCTGCTTCTTGTGAATTTCCAAAACAATTGGAGAACATAGCTATTGTCATGGCCCGTTGAAACTAAAACTAAGCTCAATTTCCATGGGGTCATTGCACCGGTCATTGTCCTTGTACTTATCTAACTCCATGTGGTTTTAAGCAGGCAAGATCCTAGCCAAGCAAAGAAAAGAAACGTGTTTTCAATCATAGGTCTTACTATTGGCATAGAATGCCGTAAATCGCGGCGTTGTTCAGCATTTGCTCAGATCGTGTTGCCCTGGCTCGAAGGTCGAATGTTCGAGATTCCACATAAACCTTCCTAGAGCATCCTCAATCCTGGCCTGCCAAAAGCGTGACAGTTTTTGTCTAGGCTCTTTCTGTTTTTCCCACCTGCGTTGACCATTGAAGATCTCCGCAGATGTTATGTTTTGAGACTCTTCCATCCTGTCCAGCTCTCAAGTCCCCAAAGCACGGTACGGTTTTGCAATAACATGTTTCTCCCCCTGGCAAAATGCACATCCGCAGTTCTATTCTCGGAAGGTGCACTCCTTGTTTGCCTTTTTGGATTATTCGAATCCATACTTTAGGGCAATGCAGGATGGCCTAGCACGTCATGGATTGAAGAGCGAAGATGCAAGATTATCTTATATTTTTTTCTCCGGTTCTTCAAATCTGTACTTAGATTAAATCAGGATGTGCTTGCACGTGCTTGCACATCCTGGAATGAAGATTGAAGATTCTCTGCCCACTTGTTTCGGAAAAAAATATTCATATCCATAGTTAGGACAAACTCATATCTGCTAGCACATCCTGGATTGCATTGAGTACTGATTCTAAAATTTAAGTCGAATAAGGGGGTGCATTTTTAGAGCATCATGTTTAGAAGCTGGAAAGCGCAACAGCATCAATGTGAATTGCTGAATAAACACCTGAGTATTCCAGGGGGTACCATATATATATATAGACATAATTAGAGGATACAAGCGCTAGTTTTATGTTAGGGTCGTGGCTTGGGGAGAGTGAGCTTCATCTTATAATCAAGGTGGCCCTTGTAAGGCGGACAGCATCGCCCAGATGCTTGGAAACTTGTGCGGCGCGTGCAAGATCGTTGGCACAAAGGAACAATTTCTGCCAAGCAAATTACACGCTGTTTTTCGTGATATTCCTTTTGCACTTGCGAGCTGGTGCGGTTGCACATTCAGACTGCAATCCTGTTTTAAGTTTTGGTTCGTTGCCCTGGGCCATTCTTTTGGTGACGCGGGTGCCAGGCGGGGCAGGTGTGTGAGTGTGTGTGTGTGTGTGTGAGTGTGTGGGTCGCACCCTCTTTGCAATCATGGAAGCCAGGGTTTCGAAGCCAGTCCTGACATTGTGGCACCCATTTCCACTCCCAATGGAAGAATATGGTAATTCGTCGGGCAACGTTCCATGTCCAGGTAGGTGTTTGGCTTCCGTTGGTGTGCTACGTGTTTTAGGTGGGCGAAGAACACCTCCTTCACGTTGCACTCGAAGGCCTGGGAGCAGGCACGGGAGATGGTGAAGGTCAAGGTGATGGCGGAGTACGGCCCCGAGGCGCCAACAGGGGTGGGAAGGGAGATGAAGATGGAAGAAGCAAGCAGATCAAGCTGGCGGGAACAACAAGGGCAAAGGGAGAAGCGGAAGAAACATGGGATCATCTGGAAAAGGGAGAATGAACTTGAGCCAACCAGGATGGGCCTAGCCAACGTAAAGCACCTTGATCGAAGCGAAAACACATGTTGTACATGTTTAATAGCTGGCGTGTTTGGAGGTGAAGCTCACACAAGACAGGTGAGGCGGTGAGGCCGCAAGAGACTACGTAGGTCATCGACATGGTCAATGCCCTCTCCGAGTGCACCAACAAGATCTCCGAGGAGCTCAAATTGTCCGAGGCCAACTTCGGCATCACGACCCTCGGATCGGAAAGATGTTTGTGTTTCTGGTTAGTTCCAAGCTTTAAACACGTTGTGCCCGCTTCATTTTTGGTTTGGAAACTTTCAATCAGCTTTGCCTGGGCCCATTTTAGTAGGTCAGTGCAGAGAGACGACCCCAGCCTTGCGACGTCTCTTGCCCTTTTGGTTTCCCGAATTGGATGCATATGGGCCCATGTGATTGACGGTAACCTTGTTGGTTGGGTTTAGAATGGAAACCACTGAGACACCGATGCCATTTTGGGTGATATCCCTAGTTTGACACATAGCATGTTGTCTAGGTTCCGCGCTACCAGGTCTTTTGGGCTGCTGTCCGCCAGCCCACCATAGGCAGCTACATGCAGTAGAAGGCGTTTGTCGAGGTGGCAGTCCTTTGGAAAGTGTTCAATGAATCATCTGGGAATGACAGGAAGTATTGGTGAACTGCTGCTGCTGATGTTCGGTGGGGGTTGCAGTCAGACAACTACTGCTGTATTATGCTGGAGTACTGCCAACCATGTTTATGCGATCAATATGCAGTCGACTCTAGGGATGCTGAATGCATTCTTGGATCGCTTTCCTTTAAAGAGCCCAGCTTTGCGCTTCCAACTATATGGGTCTGCCCTTTTCAGGGACCCCCCAAAAAACACCAAGACATGTGGGTTGCTCTTTTGGTTGTTCTTTAAAGCCGTCGTGCCAGCTCAAGCAAAACGAGACGCCCATTTTGCCGGCTTATCCTCGGACGCTCCGAGGATGGCGCTACCGCTGGTGGCGATGCAGCACAACCAGCTGGACCGCCCAGACGTGGAAGGCCTGCTGATGGACAGCTACGTCCTGGATCAAGCCGCGCACTGGATCAAGTTTGCCGCGGCCGCGTATGGCAACTCGGAGTTCCCGTAAAAAGAACGAGCTGACAACTGAACCTCAAGGTGCGCACTGTATATTCATCGCATGTTAGTGCAATACATTGTGTTGTGTTATGTTGTAGTGTGTTGCATTGTATTGGATCACGTTGAATACATAATACTTGCCTTTGCCTGAACGTGCACATGTCGGTTGCGGTTGAGACATGTGACCCAACGATTTCGATTCGGAGTGGCCTTTGATTTACCTTTTGCCAAGCTCTTTAGCTGCTTGACGTGTGTTTTCATTCAGGGTCCTGGCCACCTATCAGAGAAATGAAACCCACAAAGTGCATGTGGCTCTTTGTATTCCCTTGAAATGGTGCGTGATTGTTTTTTTTGAACTGGGCTAGCCAACCAAAGGACAATGCGATTGCCGAATCATGTTGATTTTTGCGACGGACGTCCAACACCCCAAGAATGATCTTGCAGGCTTCCCCAGCTTATGTGATGTCCAAGTTAGCAATCTGTTGTGGAGGCAAACCGGAGTTGAGAAAAAGGAACGGGATTTCCACCAAGGCATCCATCACGGGTACCGAACCTGCACTCAGGATGGATGCGTTGAAACAGCCTCTGTTTGCAAGGTCACATGGAACCCCGAAAGACAGTCCACTTCCCAAAAGCTGGTTTCGGGTCCGACAGGAGGGTTCTTTGGCGTTTCCAAGAGGCAAGCGTGCCAAGCGTTCGGCTTCAAGCTCCGAGCCCCAAGGCACGACGGACATCAAGGCCTACGACAAGGTGGGATGGGGTTTTCTAGCTCCAACTGGGTGGTTGTAACCCAACTACCCTCCCCTCACACCAGAGGATCCCGCTTAGAGGACATTGATCTTGCGGGTGCCTCCTGTTGGGGAAGTACTCAAAGGGCACCAACCTCCTTTTCAGACCCGCTTTTAGCCGCTTCAACTGACTCTTTATGGGCGGCGGAATCCAATAAGAAACTGCGTAGTCAAAGGGAGCTTGCCCTCTTTCATGGCGCCCGCTTGTCTGCTCCAATCGACTCTTTATGGCCGGGACAAGTCAACCAAACCAAGCTGCCAGGCGCATGGCTTCAAGCATTGCCTGCTTCACCAAGCCCACAGGAGCCCTGCGATTTTGGGGATAACTTTCAGGTGGACAAATTTTGGGAAGGGGAATCAATCTGCGACACTTGGTATCGTTCAAAGGCACGTTTTAGTTGGTGACGTTTTGGGTAGACGTCAATATTCGGTGGATATCTCAAATCCACCCAGTGGTGAGGCGGTTCCAACTCTAGCCACATCGCCGAGGCCAGCGTGCACGTGGCGATGGGAGAGGACCCCAACGTCACGGTACTCATGGCGCTGCTCCCTGCGAAGGCGCAGTTGGAATTGGCGGCCTCGGGTGAAGATTTGGAGGGCCCATCCCAAGCCTCCGGTCACAAATCCTCAAACTGGAAATGAGTGAATCCTCAAACAAGTCCCAAGCCCAAGGCACATCCCAACCCTCCAATCGCAAATCCTCAACTGGAATTGAGCTATTGCTCGCGGCCATGTCGCAAAAGCTTGCTTAGACTGCAGCCTGCTATTTTCCCAAACTGCTGGTTTTTTCGTGGCTTGTTTTGGCCACGGGAACTCCATATTGCAATCTTGGTGAATATAGCCACAGCTTGAAGGAGCAGTTTGGGGGATTGTTGTAAACTGTTTGAGTTTTGAAAGTTTGGTCCCTGCAGCCAGCCTTCTAGAGACCATGCAGGTACTCTCTGTAAATTCCAAGCCATGTCCTTTGGCGAGAGGAACCTCTCAAGCCTTTGATGTCAACGAGTTTCAGTTTTGAATTTACCGCGGATACGTGGCATGCAACAAGGGGGCCGCGGCCAAGTGGGAATAGCACGCAATTCTACCTGGGCTTCGCTCCCTTTGATAGAACTAGATAGCACCTGAGTTGGGCCGACTTAGCATTTATTGCAGATCAAGTCAGCCGTTCCATCCCTTGACAACTTGTATGCTGTATCGTCTTTGTCTGTCATGTCTCAACCGAGTTCCTCGTGGTTTTCGGCATCACCTTTTGGGCCAATGGATGCACAGCGTGAGTTCGCTGCGGCTTGATGGTTCAAGGGGGAAGCTGGGGAACCCTGTTCGCCGGTTAAAGCAACATTTGTTTCCCAGTGCGTGATGAACTACTGCAAAAATGAGACCTCATCACCATTGACCTAAGCGCATGTCAAGCGACATTTTGGAAGGCACCTGGCAACTTCCACTGTTTTGAGGGCCCCTTCCCCCAATCATGGAAGATAACGGGAGGGTTTTGGACAACTACCTTCTTTTTGAAAAGGGCCCCCTGTCCACTTCCGTTGTTGACAAGAGGGTAGGTTCTAGGATATCAAAGTTTGCGGGAGGCGTTCCCGTCAACTTACCACTTGACGGGTGACCTTGACGAAACGGGGCAGTCCCAGAGCAACACGGACGCCCAAGCCATGCCAGTGACTCAATTTTGACCGTTTTGCAGACAAGCCCATATTTGAGGGGGGACTGATAATTAGATTGTTGTGTAACGCAGACCCCAAGTGGTCACTATTCGGACGAACCGGCCCAGGACTCCCCCAAACATGTAGAAGACACACCTCCTTTTTTCTTTGGTTGAAGCCGTACCCCTCAGACCCCTCCATCTCTCTCCTCCCTTCGTAGGGCGTGAATTTGCCGGGGCACTTTGTGGCGGTGGACCGGGCCCAGAAGGCCGTGATCCTCGGGGTGCGGGGCACCACTACCTTGTCCGACGCCCTCACCGACGCCGCGCCTCGAAGCGAGCTTGGGGATGGGTATTTTTTGGTACCCCAAAATTGGTTCGGATGGGTCCCAGAAGTAGAAAAAGAAATTACCCCGGCACGAGACCCCAAACAGTGATAGGCGGCGGTCACACGCTGCAGAGTATTGTGCGGGCAGCGCCGCAAAACGGCGATTGTTGTCAGGAAGCTGCAACATCATTTTGCGGTATTTGCGCGCACACTCACAAAGACGAGGACACGTGTGTGGGAGTAGAGACACATGCAGCACCAAGAAGAAAAAAGGCGCACAGGCATGGCCAGCAGGCATGCTGATTTTTTCGTCCATGAGCAGCACATATCGGTGAGACGGCAGAATCGCAGGACAGGGCTGCTGGGATAGATGCGTGGCACTGCGCGCAGCCGCAGCAGGCCAGTCTGTTGGTAGACGCAAAGGCGCTGCGGTCAAGGCGTGGTAGCTTGTTGCTGCAAACAGCCGACGCGGCGCACGCAGAGTGCTAGTGGCAAGCTCTCGCAGCACAGAAGCGTTATCAAGGCAGGCCCAAAGACTGGGCTGTCTGGCTCGGACCCTTCCACAGCAGGCGTGTACATAAAGCGCGCGCTCCCAGATCGCAGGGCGCACAAGAAGGCGTCAAACTCATTTGGCGCCATGTTATCGAGGCAGTTCATGCGGTGCAGCGCCGCGAGGGGCGGCAGGCCGCGAAGGCGCGGATGTTGTTCGATCCACTGTTGCATGGTAGCTTCGTCTGCACAGCGGAAAGAGTTGTCAAAGAAAGTCGGCAGGCGGATTTGTGCATGGATCCACTCGGGCGCATTCCAAGACACACGCACGTCAATGACATCGTGCGCCAAGAACCCTGCCAGCCACAGCCGTGTTGCCAGGATAAAATTTGCCAGGCACGGCGTAGTCTCGCCAGGCACGGCGTAGTCCAGAAGAGCCTGAAATGAAACCGCCGGCAGCACGGCGAGAAGCTTGTCCTTCGCCAGCGCCCGAAGCTCTTCCTGCTGCAGCCTTCTCCCACCTTGTTTCCGGCTAATCCCTGCGTTCTTGCACGCCGTCCATAAGCCCTGTCGATCCGAAGATAAACCTTCCAACAAAGCACCCGCCTGCGCAGCCGCAAGGTCTCCCAAGACACATGACCCGAGATGCTCGAATTCCGCGCGCACATCGGCGGGCGCGGCTTCCAGCAGCATCGCCAAGGTAACCTGCACGCTTTGCTCCACCAACGCGCCGGAACTGCTCGGGCTTATGCCCTCACCCGCGCGCGCAGCCGCAGACGCAGTCATGCCCTGCTCCGCCCCACCCGAAGCGTCGCTGACTGGCGTTTCTTTCAGAAATCGAACGCAGCCGCCGCGCAACTCGGAGCGCACACTTTGCGCTGCGCGTGTTCTGCCACTGGCATTTCGTATTGCGATCCCCCACACACTGCTCACTTTCCTGAGCTCATCTGCACCCGCTCCCAACGCACGAAGGAGCTCTGTCACTCTGGCCGCTTCCTGTGCCGCCACGAGGACCTCTCCGCACTCTTCCAGTTCCCTCCCCATCTCGCCAGGCACGGCGTAGTCCAGAAGAGCCTGAAATGAAACCGCCGGCAGCACGGCGAGAAGCTTGTCCTTCGCCAGCGCCCGAAGATCTTCCTGCTGCAATCTTCTCCCACCTTGTTTCCGGCTAATCCCTGCGTTCTTGCACGCCGTCCATAAGCCCTGTCGATCCGAAGATAAACCTTCCAACAAAGCACCCGCCTGCGCAGCCGCAAGGTCTCCCAACACACATGACCCGACATGCTCGAATTCCGCGCGCACATCGGCAGGCGCGGCTTCCAGCAGCGTCGCCAAGATTATTGCGCCCATGGCTGCGCAAGCATCACTACAAAAGGCAAGATCTGTGTGTTTGTTTCAACAGAGTGCCTGAGTTAGTGAGTTAGCTAGCTAGGTAGCTTCTTCCTTGGTTCTCGTTATGTTGTCTCTGTATTTCTTTCTTTCTATGAATGTGGCGCTGTTGCTGTTGCTGTTGCTGTTTGGTTGTTGTTACCATCGAGAAGCCGTCGCAGCACAGAAGCACCATCCAAGCATACCCAAAGAAAGAGGGCGGGAATCGAGCCCGGGACCTTTCGCCGGAAACCCGTGCCGCCGGACCACGAGACAAAACCCCCACGGTCCCTGGAGCCGCCAAAAAAACAAAGAAATCGAGTTTGTGCGAGCCTGCGCAATCGAAACGCGCTTCAACATCAAGCAAAAGCAAGGATCTGCGGTAAATACCACGCGAAACGCTTGCGGACAGAAGTCGACACCTCACTTTCTGCGAGCCTGCGCAGTCGAAACACATTTCAACATCAAGCAAAAGCACGAATCTGCGGTACATATCGCGCGAAACGCTCGCGGACAGAAGTCGACACCTCACTGTGTGTGAGCCTGCGCAGTCGAAACGCACTTCGACATCAAGCAAGAGCACGAATCTGCAGTACATACCACGCAAAACGCTCGCGGACAGAAGTCGACACCTCACTTTGTGCGAGCCTGCGCAGTCGAAACGCACTTCGACATCAAGCAAGAGCACGAATCTGCGGTACATACCACGCAAAACGCTCGCGGACAGAAGTCGACACCTCACTTTGTGTGAGCCTGCGCAGTCGAAACGCACTTTGACATCAAGCAAGAGCACGAATCTGCGGTAAATACCACGCAAAACGCTCGCGGACAGAGCGGGCGCCTCAATGTGGCACCAAGGCCTTTTCTCTTACCGTAAGAACCCCTTAGTGTAGACACACTGTTTGGGGAAAGAAGCACCAGTTCGTTTGGAATAGGAAACCAGTATCGTCAATTGTCCTTTTGGTTTCATTGTGATTCCCTTGGCTACCCATCTCAGTTCCCCAAGGCCAACCTTTTGACCTTGGTTTCCAGTTTTGGGCTGTTCTTGTTTAAGGTTCCAAAAAGGCTGACCTTTTATTTCCAGGTCCTCTGGCAGTTTTTGTAAATGGAATCATTCCAACCATTCTTTTCAACCATCGTTCTTTTAAAAAACCGGATTCGTTTCCCCTGGGTTTTTGATGAAAGAATGGGGAAGGCACCCCTAGAATCATGTGAGGCATACCCTCGGGCCAGGCCCCGGGGCCCCTGGGCCCCTGACGCGAGGTGGGCGAGGCCACCACGGTGCCCGAATGCCCTGGGCTTCTGGCGCACAAGGCGATGCGATGGATTCGGTGAGTCCCAATTCTATGTGGTGCATCTAAAACTCGGGGGGACTTCAAAAGTGGTTGCGTTCCTTTTGGTTCCTCTCCAGTGAAGACAACCCTCAAAAGAGTACAGTATCAGAACGAAGAACACAGTGGAGTGCCTGAGGTGCGTCTTCCAGTTTCCTTTGTAATTTGCCGCTGGTTTTCGGGTTTCCTTTTGGCTTTGCTTTCTTGTTGTGTGTGAATCCCAAAAAGAAAGAGGAACTTGGCAAGAGCCCTGGGGACCCTTTCCCAGGCGAGGGCCCTTTTTTTGGATTTGCGAGCTGCGTGTGAAGCGTTGCTGGACTATTTTCGCATGCGAGCCATCGCATGTTCATGTCTGCAAGCATCCGAAAGCGAGATGCGGCTGTTCTCCATTACATGGCCGATCGGTGTCCTTTCCACGTCCTTTCAATCACGAAAAGAGGGTTCAAGCTATTTAAGACCGGCGTGAGCAGTGGTATATCAAGCATGATGAGTCATCCTTCGATTCTACGCTGGGGTTGTAAGCTAGGTACAAGCGCCATGTTTTTGGGCTCTGAACACTGGTTGAGCTCTTCGCATGCTGTCATTTCTATTGGGTTTGCCCGCTCCAAGCAGTTTGCACTAGTTTCGGAGGGTTCGACCATCACTGTCTTCGACCAATAGAAAACACTACTTGCGTTTTGTTTCACTGCTCCTGCATGCGCTCCAAAGCTCTCAGAAACTCCTTTAGCGGCATGGCGGAGCATTTTGCGCCATGCCTATTGGAAGCACTTTTGCTTCAGGATTTGGTTATGAACATGTGTCCGTCTTTTCTCATGATCATGCCACTCACGCTGCCGAGCAATTCCTTCATTTATCTCCGCTGTAGGTCGACGCGCTGCACGCCAGCTCTGCGTTTGCCAACGTCTTTTGTGGACAAATTATTGTATTCGATGTGTGCGAGTGTGTGTGTGTGACCTAATTGCCGCCTATCAGGCAAGCAAGCCGAGATAGGCCGTGTTCACAACAAAATCCAATGGAGACTCCGCCGGCAATGTGCTCAAGTCAATCCAGCCATCATAGGTACCACGGGTGCACCAGCAGAAAGAAAACAGAAAACAATTTAAGCACGGGGTGGTATGGAAATACCGGCCCGAATTGGACAAACGGATGAGCAATATCAAGGCAAGACAAAGCAAGGTATCGTCACTCAGGCACCCCATCCTGAGCCAAACAACTGCAAAACTACGTCAAGGTCAGGATCTGAACAGTGTTGGGCTTCATGAGCGTGGTCGTCGGAGCTTCCGACAAGCTCAAAAAAAATCGCCACGGCCCGTCTATGGCCCGTGTGCCAACTACACTTGACCCTGTGGCTGGTTGAAGGCACATCAAAGAACTACACATTTGGTTAGGGTCAATTTCCTCCACAAGGAAACACGTATTGGTCTCAATGGGTGCACGCGCAATATGGCGGTTTTCCTGTTGATCATATCCGATCCGCATACTCCAACACCCCGGTCCCCGGAGTCGGGCATGGATATCCCCCGGGGTTTTGGTGTCTCTTGGTTTGGGAGTTGGTTTTCTCACTCCGTTCCTGGACTTACTTTTCAGACCATTTTAGTGCAAAGTTTAGACTTCGTTCAGCGAATTCACTCTAAAAAGTTAGTTGCTGGTAGTTGGTGTTTTTTTTGTTTACAGTGAAATAGACGGGTCACTAGTTCTCAAGAACACCCATACTTTGCCAGAACCAGGCTGCATTGCGCCAGGCAATGCTTGCGAGCGCCCGGGCCGTTTTGGAGAAGACCAAGCCGACCATTCTCAAAGCCTTGGAGGAGAATCTTAGAATCAACGTGCCTGCCCTACGGGCCTTGTGCTGAGGGTTCTCCCAAATGGTGTACCTGGCTGCTTTTGTTTCCTGTCAAGTGCGGTTTGATGCTCAGCTTGTTGAGCTACAACCTTCCGAATATGTCACGGCACTAGTTTGTTTTGGGTAGACGCAAACAACATTCTCCAAGCCCGTGCTCGGGCAATGGAGAGCACTTTGTTGGAAGCGTTTGTCAAGCCTTGGATTGTCAATTCTTTGTCGCCCCAAGGTGCCGATGAGACTTTTGCCCAGACAACGCATCCACCATGTTCTCAACTTTTTCCCAGCAATGCGTTCGAAGTGGGTTGACCTCCTGCTTCTGCCTGAATCTCAGGATATCGGCTTGGATCTTTCAGATCAGGTTGCTGAGCACTGAAGGACCTTTTGTAGGAAGCGCAGCAAAAGAAAGAGACTTCTGCCTAGCGTCCTTTCTACTAGTTCTTCCTTGCGTTCACCTTCCGCCTTCAAGTTTTGATTACTGGCAGGATTCATGATGAAGTTGGATGAAGAATGAAGACGATGTTGCATGAGGCAGAACCAAGATTGAGTGGTGTTTCGGCTCTGACATTAGGAGTGCATGGCAAGGTTTGCTCTCTGTGAATCAGGGGTTTTACTGCTCAATATGGTTCACATGTGCAGTGTATTCCAGTGTTTCCGGATCGCACTTCAAGTCGATGAGAAGTCTGAAAGCCGCAAAAGGCCATCATGGAGGCTCGCCGGAAATTCTTGTTTTGCCTTCCTTTGGATGCAGAAAGGAAGCCATGGCTGCAGAAATCAGTGGCCTAGGACTTTCACAATTTGAACACGGCAGTCACCCCGCGAAAGAAGAAAAGACACATTTCAAACTGGGGGTTGCTGTTTTTTGTTCAGCTAAATTTCCGGGACTCCCTAAATGGTAGAATCTCTCAATTGGGGTCTTCTCATTTGTTCAATGGGCTGAAATGAGCAACTGACAGAAGCACTCGGAATGGTGGCCCCTCCTTTTTTGTTTTTACAAAAACACATCCAGGTGGCCCCCGCATTGGTTACTCTCTCTTGTCCAAAGTGATGCTGGGGGCCCCATTGTTCCCATGCCCTTGTGGACAAATCGCAATTTTGGGAGCAGCCGAGGAACAGAGGGTTCTCCCTGCTGGTTACTGGCCATAGTCTTGGCGCGGGGACTGCGATTTTGTGCACTCTGCTGCTCTCGGAGATGCCTCTTCCGCCCAAGCCGCGCTTGAGGCATGGATCTGAACAATGGCCTCTTGGTTTCCCCAACAAAAACGAAAGGATGCCCCTCGAATATTGAGAAGACACACATTAAGCGTGTCGGCCAGCAATCGCAATGTTGGCTAGTCACGTTGTTGTTTGTTGCAGGCAGAGGTATATATATATATATATTACCCTTATAGATTCAATTCACAGAATCGTTGGTCCTTTAATAAACAATGCAACTTATGTGTGAATTGACTTCTTTGGCTTATGGCGGAATAGGCGCGCCGAAAAAAGAACATGAACCTAATGAACTATTTCGCTCCCAGCCGAGATCAATGGGTGCCATGTTCAGGTGGGGTTTAGAACATTTTCGGAGGACCCAAACGGAGATCAATGTTCAAAGCAATCTTGGCCCGAAACTGCAGACATGCTGAAATAGGAATTGCTTTGTTTAGAGATTCAGAACCATCAACTCTCCCAGCAGATGATGCGCTTCGCTTACTTCCCAGCCTACAATATATTGCTTTCCCCAGTGAATTTGATTATGGGGGTGCTGCAGGGTAGGTCCCGGAGATTGGGCTGAGCAATCGTCTCGGTGCCAAAGCCATCATCTTCTTGGCAACTTTAGCCGGCTTCCCAACAATCCTTATTGCTTCCCAAGGCGTTTGGAGGTTTCTCAAGGCAGACACCCTTGGTATTTCATGCGAAGAAGGACTGCAGCCATGGCCCGATTCCAAATTCCTGGCCCTTCCGCAGATGCTACGCTTTCGCACCTCCGCCGGTGGTGGGCCCGGTGGAGCACCGGAGTCTGAAGCAAGCGGAGATCCACTCCTTCATCAACCGCGCCGACGTGGTGCCTCGCGCCTCTCTGGCTAACGTCTTCTCCCTGGGCCAGGCAGGGGCAGCGAGAGCGAGCGGATGCCAGGAATACTTAGGAACAAATTTAGGCGCATTGTTTAAACGTATACATTGTGTATATATATATATACATATATATATATATGCTTGTGACGAGAACGTGGGTGAGGACATTAGCTTTCCTGGTTGCCACATGCGTTTGTACGTGTGCGTGTCCTTTTCCTAGGGCCTTATTCCCATGTTCTAGGCAAGCCACTAAAATGGGTCAAGGCAACCCACGGCGACAAATCCAGGCGCAGTACTTACTGTACTTCTTGAAAACAGGCACATCCCTCCCTCCAAGACATTTGTGCCCTGCCCGTTCGGCCCCTCGGTTTTCTCCACTGGTGAGGAGTGCATGGCGGTGGATGGCTTGGACCTGGACTTCTTCTCTCGCTTCAACCTCATGCGCCGCGATGCCGCTCCCGAGAATGAGGCGGAGAAGCAGGCGAAGCAGACCATCGTGGCCAAGGTGAAGGAGTGCCAGGCGGGGCTCCCCATTTTGTATTTTGGGCTCCGGTGGGCTGGGACATTTGTTGGGAGTAGGATTTGGGGATTCGCATGTACGCCAGCCACTTTGGAGGTCTTGTTTTGGTTGAAGTTTATGGCCGGGGCAAAAACCGAGCTCCCAAATGGTCAACAGCGGGTGTAAATTTAGTGTGTGGGTAGTGTGGGCCATGTTTGCCATGTTTATTACAACCAATCGACATGTTCTGCGGGAAATCAAGGCGAGCCCGCCAAAAACAAAGGTTTCGGTCTCATTTCCTGAACGTCGTGGCCTCAGGAAGCGCCACCCCTGTGTGGAATTTCCGTGGGAATGCATGGGGCTCCAGTTTTGGGAATCCAGGCGGCGGCTTAGGGGGTTCTCCGTTACTTTCCTGAACTCACCACTTAGAGAGCTTGGCAATGGTGAAACCATGGATCCAGAACATCACTGGGTTGGGATCCATTGCGCCAGTGGAAGGCATCGAGTTGTTCCAAAGGAGACACTCTGCAAGTCGCCCAACGGCCACCGCAAAGAAAAGACAACCTCTGTGAACCAGGAGGCAAGTGAAGGATGGCATGCGCGTTCGCCTTGACGCATTTCAGTGGCTTGTTTAGGGGTACCTTCCCCATTCTTCATTGTTAGGGATCCTTGTTTCTGTAAAACCTCCGGAAACCCAGGGAAAACTGCTGCTTTTGGAAAGAACGATGGTTGAAATTGAATGGCTTCCATTTGCTTAAGAATATGTTTATTTCCCCTGTTGGTTTTAAGGGGAATCTAGCACTACTGGATGCATTTTTATTTTTCTTAGGGGGCTTAAGCAAATGGAGGCTGGGGAATCACCCCCCAGAGCTTGGGCCAGCCCGAGGATGCGCGGAAGGGCAAGCCGCATCAGTCCTTCCCTCCGCTCTTTGTGGCTGGCCAGGTTTACTGGATCGAAGCTCGAAGAGTTGTCACCACTTTTCGGCTTTTCATCAGACAGGATCCGCTCCCTTGCAGAAGGAATCCCAAAAAGGGGATGAAAGGGTCCCGCCAAAAGAGATTCATCTAAAAAACGAAGGTTTTTCAGTTCGATCGAACATTTGCAGGGAGTATCTTGTTTGCGTGGGGGAAATGTGAAACCTGAAAAAAACATCCACCACACATCCTGCAGTCCAAAGCCACGTGTTTTTCTTTGCGTTTTGTCCGGTTTTTCTGGACTACTCTCGTTTTGCCCGGCTTGTTTCAGGGTCGCTCCAAGCCTCAAGTGATCCTTGTAGCACAGGAATGGCTGGGCCAAGCTGGAAGTGTGCAAGATGACGACACGGAGTCTGCCCGGGCTCCCCGCATACATCGGGTTTCTCCCTATGAGTTTCAGTCGCTGCTGCTGCGCGGAGGCACAAATGCCGCTGATCTGAATGACTTTCCCACTTCTGGAGGTTGAGCGGTACAAATGGCGAATTTGTTTTTCGGCATCCACAACAAACAGCACATAATATTGTGTTTTCCCCACTAGGGCACCAAACGGCGATGGATACGTTCATTTTGTCCGGTCCCCCTATTCAGCAGCGAACACTGATGTTTGCAGACTGGGGCGTATGCATGCGATGTGCTTTCGCCTCAGTGCTAAGGCATTGAAAGACCACTTGTGCGATGGCTACAAGGAAGGGATCGAAGGCTACCGAGTGCACATGCAGGCTATGGGCGGGTGCAGCACCTGTAGCTGTGCGATTTGCTAGGCGCCGTCTCAGGGATGTAGCTTCAGGACAGCTCAGCGTCCCCGGAGCACCGCAAAGGTGGTGCCCGGCAAGTGAGCATGTATTCAGATGTGGCCAGGGCAGCAAAGTGACCTGCCGGCCACCCTCGTTCGGCCAAAATAGATTGCACGTTTGCCGTTGCCACTCGAAACAAGACTACTTGACTACGTTGCTTGTCCTGCACTGGTTGAATCGTTCGCAAGGCACTTGTTGCACCTCGTTCTATCTAGTCAGCTGCCCAATAGTTGCTCCTTGCCCAAAAGGCTTCTTTCTCACAAATACGGTATGTGACATGAGTCGGTCATACTCCTGCTGAGTTGTCACCATTCGTACAACTGGAGGTGAACACAGTTATTTCCCATCCAATGCAGCATTTCTTTTTGGTGTGTCTTTTAGGGGAACCCCGTTTTGGTTGGCTTTGCCAGACAAAAGGGAAACAGCAATTTTGGGATCTACTGGGCGACACTCCCATTTGTGACGAACAGACCTGCATCTCATAGCATTTACAGCTAGAAGCAGTTGCAGATTCCAGCTCGCAGATGAATCCGAGGAGGCATAGGCTCAATTGAATAACAAAGGGAAAAGTTCAAAGAAGACACTCCCCATGTGAATGATATCAAGGTATTTGCATGGAAAGTTTTGCTGCTCAACTCAGGCCGAAAACGTCTAGTGCTCAGAGCATCTGAGGCGAGCTAAAATTGGACTACGTGGATTTGCTAATTGCAGATTGCCCGCCAGAGTGGGGCCCTGAGGGGGTTGCTTGGTGCTTGATTGCCCTCTGACTTTCAGCCATGTGCGGTTATTCGGAAACAACCCAGCAAATGCGTATGAAGAAGCATGTCTTACATTGTATGTAATCTCATGACATGCAATGTAATGCAATGCAATGCAATGCAATGCAATGCAATGTAATGTAGCGTAATGTATTTGTGTACATGCATGTACTAGAGATTCACATAACATGACTTACTATGATATGTCGGGCAACTGTTACACTCAGGTAGCCCATACTTGGTGCTTTGGCTTGGTTATCTGGCGGCACCATGACCAACCGGAGCTTTGACCACGCCATATACTGGATGATTTTCTGATCGACCCCAACAAGGGCGACCCCCTCACATTCGCAGTTGAGGAAGCCATGACAATGACATCAGCCATGACCCACCATGACCATGATCCGATTCCAAGACAATTCACAAGTGGGTGGAAGAGATACAAGTTCATGTACAGTGCATTTAAAGGGTCCAAAGTATCATACCCAACGTTATTTATTCACAAAGGTTGCTCAGCTTTTTAGGATGTTCCCCTTATAGAAAGGGGTCTGGGGGTCAGCGTGTTTTCGTGAGATGCGTCGCTGCGTCCGCAGGCGTCCCTGTTCGCCAGCGTTCGCAGGTGGCGAAAGTTGCCGTGCCTTTGGGGAAGGCTCAGAATTGTTGCATTTGTTGCGACAGAGCGCTAATCGTAGCTCGTGCAACGTTGCGGGTCGTTTCGCTGTGCAGGCGCGGTGCTAATCATCGAAGGGTGTGTGAGTGTGTGTGTGTGTGTGTGTGCGTTGCCGCACCATGGTGATTTGCGCCTCAGGGGCTGTTGTCTTGAGGCGTCTTGCTTGGCAGGCGCGTGCAAGCGTTTGCGCGAGTGTCATTTTCGTTGGCCGTCGTGCATGCAGAGAGCTGAAAGCTTGTCAATATCGCTCGAAATCATTCTAGCGCCGCAGTCCCGTGCCAATTCCTGAGACACGTCGTAAACGCGTCAAAGTTCGATTTTGTGACAGGCACAGTGCTTGGAACGCTTCTTGCTTCATCTGAAGCGTACCTGCGTGACAGGCGCAGCACTTTGGAGCGCTAATGTCAAATTTCGTGGCGGGCGCAGTGATTTGGAGAACGTCTCGCGGAGGCGCTGATTTGTGTGGCAGGCGCAGTATGTTTTGGAGGGCCGCGAGCAGATTTCGCGGCGGCCGCAACAATAGTGGTATTTCGGGCAGGCGCAGCACTTTGGAGAGTCGTGTTGAATTCTCTGGCAGGCGCAGCACTTTGGAGCACGTCTCTCCGGAGCCAAATTTGCGTTGCAGGCGCAGTGCCTGGAGGGTCACATGCTGTTTTCGTGGCAGGCGCAGCGCTTTGGAGCACAGAGTGCTGACTTTGTCAGTGGCTCAGCGCGCTGAATTTCCTAACAGGCGCAGTTGGAGCACCACCTCGCAGGAGGGTTGACAGATAGGTAGATAGACAGATAGATAGGTGGAATGAGAGACGCAGGCAGAATGATAGCCAGAAAGATGAAAGGACGAAAGATATATAGATAGGCACCGTATAACATTCGTTGTAGATAAATAAACAAATAGACAGAACAAAAAGCACGAAAGACAAAAGGCAGAAAGAAAGATAGACCGATACGCAGATAGCCAACTAGATAGATAGAAAGATAGGCAGATAGATAGATAGATAGATAGGGAGACAAGCAGGTAGATAGATAGAGAGGTAGATAGGGGATAGACAGATATTCATAGATGGTGGAGATTGGTGGATGGACTGACAGACAGATAGACAGACAGAAAGATTTGTAGAGAGATAAGAGAGATAGGTAGATAGATAGGGAGGTTAGACTAGAGTAGATAGACAGGTTAGAACAGGTTAGATAAGATAAGATTTGCGTAGATATGTGAAATAGACAGCCCAAAAAAGGTTAGACTGGTAGATGCTGATGGACAGATCAGATTAGACCCGCAGATCAGACGGAAAGATGGACAGATAGATCAGGGTAGATTAGATCAGATAGATTGTGCATTAGGTGTTAGGTTTGATTCGACCAGGTGGATAGATAGACAGATAGATCACAGATAGATGGAAGATAGATTTTGGTTGCCAGAGACAAAATATAGGTAGATACAGATCGGTCCATGGATAGATAGACAGATGGACAGGTAGTGAGGCAGGGTCGAAGAGGGAGAGACACATTGAATTAGAGGTAGGTAGACAGAAGAATAGACAGATAGACAGATAGCTTGATAGGTCGGTGTTTGGATGCACAGTTGCGTAGATGGACACACGGGTAGATAGAAAGAAAGATAGGTGTATGAATAGTTGCGCAAATAGATGGAGGATGAATAGGCAGGCAGATGGATAGAGAAATCAAGAGGTCAAAAGGCAGGAAAATGGATATGCAGGGACGCACACACAACGCAAGACCTGCATGGGCAACCAACCTGCGCTCGGCTACGTGGCTTCTATCAGGTTTTTTGGTGGAGCCAGGGAAACCAATTAGAGAGAGGAGAGGAACTCACGTCTGGTTTCGCCTGTTTTGGTTTACGACCCTTTTCGACCCTCGTTTGTTACTTAGTTGTTGACCCTCTGTCGTCCCCGTTTTCACCAACTTTCACATTTCGCATCTCCCCGGAATCGCCGGAGAGGCAGGTTCCTTCAGCATGGCCCTTCTTGGAGGAGGCTTGGTGAAACTTTGCCGCGGCCAGCAATAAACCCGTTGTTGGTGGGATTCCGCATCTGTTGGGGTTCCACATGATTTTAAGTCGTCCGAAATGTGTTAAGCTTTGGCCAGTCACGTCTGGAGTTTCGGCGCTCTTCGCCTTTGAGTTGAACCAGTGAAGAGGGCAAGCCAAGCCTTCTGTCACGAGACCCCACTTCACTTGTATTTTTGTTGCTTGTGGGAAACCAGGGCACATGAGGATGGCCTGCTTGGACGCGCCCAAGCAAAACTTAGCATGTCTTTTCGATGCCAAATAAACAAACTTCTCCGTTTTGTTCAACCGTCTAAACCTCAAGGTGAACAGAAACCCGGAAAGGACGAAAGCTAGGTTCCTGTGCTTGGCCTTCTCATGATGTTGGTTTTGCCGTTCGAAGCCGTTTCATGTGCTTCAGCCATGTTCCTTTTGAAGACGTGGTAAAATGATTGGCAACTTAAGGAATTTTAACCATTCCGTTTGTGCTTGGCAAAGCCATTTGATTGACCATGCCATGTAGGATCTGCTGGTCAGTGACCACGAGGATTCCTTCTTGCAGCTCGCTCAGGGAGTGGCAACAATGCTGGAGTTCTTGTAGTTTGCTCAATTCCTCATTTGTTATAGAGACACGTTGATATCATGAGTGTGATGCCTGTCGTAGTAGTTGTATGTTTTTCACACTTCAGTGAACGACTCAGATGGTCTGTCCCTTTGAAAAGGTTCGCTTGCCTTCAGCTTCAGCCATGGGATGACGATATTCTTCATTTAGGAAGCACACCACCCCCACCACCGGCACGCCAGGCGCTCCGGGAGAACCGGTGCCGGTTCCTCGGGGTCTCCAACTTCGATCTCCTCGGGCCCAAAGTGGCGGGCCCCAGCTCGCGGTGGTGCGCGTTGTTCGGCCCAGCCGCAGCGCCACAGCGTCGCGGTGCCGCTGCTTTTGCGCTTGCTGATGCACTCGCTGTTGCTGTTGATTGACAAAGGACTCGTAGGGGGGGTTCTTGTTAGCGACACTGAGTTTTTGGAGCCCGTGCGCCTGCCATCGATTTCTTGCAAGAGGTTGCGCGGGGTGATGGGGGTGGCCGGGAAAGAAAACAAGCATCACTTTTTGGCATGGCCTGCGTGGCGGGTTAAGAAAATTGCACGGTGCAAACAAGATCACGGCAAGCACGGCAACGTTTGTACCCCTGCAGTTTGAACATGCAACATCGATTTGTAGATGCAGTCTACAAGAGTACAGACATTGTCATGCTTGCTGCATGCGCTTCTGCACCAAGCAATGCCACAAAGGCCATACGAGACAGTTAGGGTTTCCCAGGCTCCAAAAAGCCAATGTTAGATTGTTTTTCAGGGTGGGTGGGTGGGTGGGTGGGCAAGCAGCCTTGTGGACCAATGGTTCTTAGCTCTCTGTTCATGACACAACAGCAAGGGAACCGTTGTTGTTTTCCAGTGGGGGGTGGGAGGCATTCCCTGGACACTATGCCTTCGTTACCCAACATGCACTGCGGACCTCACCCGCACATGAACATGAAGAACTAGGGTAACTTGCTGCCAGCTAGTTTCATGTCTGGTATTGCATAAACAGACCGAACAGACATGTGCTTTCGGAAATTTGGGGAGTCCTTTTCAGCGGCGTTTCAGCTTCCTTTGGATTTCCCTTCAATGGGTTTCCCGACAGGAACTCCCATTTCGGCAGCCAACCATGGAAGTTTCCTGACCTCGACTGGTCTAAGAAGACCTGTGCACCAAACCATGTACCGAAAATGGGACCCTGGTAAGTGGAAGCATGGACCAAACCCTCCCCTGGTGTTTTAATTTTGATGCATCCCCATTGGCACGTTGCAAGCCATGTTTGGGTTCACGCCGACGAGGTGTCGGTGGAGGTCTTTCGGCAGTTCCTGGCAGCTACGAAGACACCCCCGGCAGTGATGGCCATGGAGGTGGATAGAGTCATGGGGAGGACATGGAAAGAGTGGCCGGCCTGAAAACAACGGTGAGGTGCCTTTCGGTGGTTACGAAATCTGTGTTCTGCAAGGGGAAATACTCTTTTTTTCTGCAAGTTTCAAGTTTCCTATTGAATTGAAGCACCCACTTTGTCCCACTTGAAAAGAGAGGTACAATCATTGGACAGCGGAATCGTTGCACAGCACATTGAGTCGTAGACCAGGTGTTTCTTACCGTACCCGCGTCAAATAGGGGCCCACTGCAACATCTATGGCTGTTTGGTTTTCTTGGGCCCATGATCGATTTCTTGAAACATATGCGTGAATGTTGCAATCCTGCGACAAATGTTGGATGAAATGCTGGGACAAAAGGCGTACACAACTTCTTAAGGGTGCCCCTGTCAGGTTCCGTGGCAACGTGGGTCTGAAGGTGTGTCAAGCATCGATTTTCCCAAATGAAACCAAAAAGTAAGCTGGAGAAACAAAAAGCCAACCATTGCCACAGCCGAGGGTTATGGACATTCATTCTTCCGACATGTCAAAACCCTTGCAGGCTGAAGGCTGGAACTTTGTGCCTCCGCGTGTTGTGACTGGTTTGCGTTGCCAACAATGAGCCGTTGACAACAGCGTGCAGTTTTGTTGAGCTTGAGGTGTTCGCGCCAAACATAAGCCGGAGTTGCATTCCGAGATGGTTTCGTTCTCCATCATGAAGCTGCGGCATGTTGTATTTCGCGCATGCCGTTGTTACCAACATGTATTTGCGGAGACTTGGCCTCGTGCCAAGCGGACTGCTGGTGGCAGGTGCACCCCTTGAATACCAACGAGGAGATGTGCGAGTGCTGTCGGAGCATGGGGATTCAGGCAGGTGCGAGGGGGTGGCGAGGTGTCCAAAGCTATTCCACACTCCGCTGCATTTGAATGTTTGACTTTCATGGCCGTAAACCATGAGTTTGGCCAATTTGGATAATCCCCTGGCCGAATTTTGTGGCTGATCGAATTAAAGGATGAGCTGAGAGGCCACGTCGGATGCCACGAGGTGCTTGCCTACTCACCGCTGGGGGCCCCACACAAGGTGGAGTCCTTCATGAAGGCGAGATGGGGGAGTTTGACCCTCCACTTCTTGTTGCTGGTGTGGGGACTGAGGGTCGATTTTTGATGGGTTCCACGGAAGGTGGGCGACATTTCCAATGGGTTGCCCCGATAGATGTCGCCGGGTCTCGAGATGCCAAGGGGTACATGGTGTGCTGCAGGGAAATTAGGATCCCATGCCAATGGCCAGAATGTTCTGTGGAAAAAGACGGAAGGGCATACCATGTCATGCGCCGGATCCCCCATGTCATCATGTCCTTTCAGACTGTGCTGTGACGCTGTGATTTCCACCAGCTCAAACTTGGTTGCCGAATTTCCGCATCGACCCTCAAAAGCAATTGTCGCAGGCAGGATACGATGTCTGGGTGCGCTCGCGCCGTTTCCTTCCCTCACATCGTGCTTGTCGAAGCTGAGGGGTGGTGCCCGGACGTTACATTACAATACATTACAACAGTTGTTCTCGCCCTCCAGGAGAGCGGTGGGCGTCTTGACACACAGCGTTTGAAGGTTTGAAATCCTTACTTTCTTGTCTTATGACACGACATACAACCAAGCAACCCTCCCTAGCCTCAAAAAACAACAGGCACCGCCGTCCCCCAACACTGGAACGAGGTTGGTCAAAAGGCTGTCCGGCGCTCATTTTGAGCTGGAGGTTCATTCGCCTAAATAGCCAAGTTGCTGTGTGTTTCAGTCATTGTTGCTGGTTTTTGGGGTAAAGTGGCCTGAACAAAGCGATCGCAACTGGCGATCCAGGTGGTTCATTCCGGCAGGTCTTGACGAAGTCCGATGCCAGAGACATGCGGCCCTTGGTGAAGGCCGATAGTTTCTCCGAGAGTTTTTGCGGCCTTGAACAGGTGACCAGCTCTCAAGGGTTGAAAACTCGGTGAGGGTTGCTTTGCAGGAGCCATATGTGTAGAGTTGTGGAAGAGTCTGCAGAGAGATGTGAGAATGTGCCAAATATCTTCCATCGATGCTGTTTCATACAGACCTCAAGACCACTCAAACATGTGAGCGACGACAAGCTCAGGGTGTTGCATTGAAGTATAGCAACTATGCAGCTAGAGCCGAGTGTCGTGATAGATGCTTGCTGTGGTTTGAATCCAGAGCGAAAGCCAAGTAGGCTTGTGAATGATGTATTGCTGTCGCCCATCTAGGACTCTTAGATAGCTGGGTGCTGAGTGCCCCTTATTTTTTTGCTTTTCTTAGAAGGAAGCCAACAGGGGGTGGATATTTGTTTCTTCGCTTGTTACCTAACCCTCTATTTTAAGCACGCAGATAATCCCAGATAGACTGCAATGGCGAATAAGACGACTCAAGATCAGATGGAGGCAGTCCATGCTCCTCAAGCAGGAAAGTAGGTCATTGAAGCGCACTCCCAGGCTTGTGAGTTGCTGCTGTTGCTACATGATAGGGGCACACGGCTGAGCTGCGCAGCAAGGCCACATCCGAAAATTGGGGGACCTCTCTCTTGGATGGTGCTCAAAGGGAACCAAAAGGATAAAGGCAGTTCGTCACACACCCATATATAGAAAAGAACGTGCATATGGGGCTTACAATGAACTCCATTGACAAGACAGTAGCACCCTCTACTATGTCCAACTTGAAGTCTCTTGCCGCTTGCCAGATGGACTTCGAAGGGGTATACCATGACCGGAAGAAGACCCTGTTCACACAGATAAAACAGCATTCTGTCTCGGCACATGTTTGCGACCTCACAAAGGAATCAGCCTCACTCACCAATGTGCCCTTCTTGGGTTGGTAAAAACGTTCATAATCATTTGTCCGGATTCAGTTTCCTTTTCAGTCAGCCACAGAATATCATATGCATCCTTACGTCTGGGATTCTGTCGAATTGTACGGACCAACCACCTCAAACCTCCCCGCCGTCAACCCCAAGAGGGGCGAGTGGAGAGGTCGCGGAGCTCCCATTGCTGCAGACCTTGGCGCGGCGACACGAGGTCTCCCCGGCCCAGGCGCTTCAGTTGGCTATGAATTTGGTGGACGTCCACCAACCACTTGAGATGGTTCCCCATTAGCATTCAAGGCCAAATGGGTCTGTTCTTTTTGAGGGTACCACTTTTGATGTGGTTTTTAGAGTGAACCCAAAAGAAAGAAAGACCCAAATGGCAACGGCTTCCTTTTGCTTTCCCGTACGGCAAACGACAGCGGCGGTAGGTTTCCTGTTTTACTCGTTAAGACATAAATGAATATGGGTCTCTTTGGCCTTTCGATGCCTTCTTTGGAGAGAATAGAGGGGCTTCTGTTGGGACTACCCACCGGTTGGCAGAGCCTTAAAACGATGGAACCCTTTGGCTGGCTTTCGGCCCCTGAGATAGAGGGAACCGCCCTTTTCCCACAAAAGGCAAAGCCTGGCGTGGTGTTTCTGGGGTTTGGGGAGTTCAGCGCACGAGATACCGTTTTGCATGGCTCTTGCTGACCATGTGGCTTTGAATGTGACTAAGGAACCTCCTCAAAGGTGGTTGGACTGTCCACCAATGGGTCCCTACTTCACATCGCCCATGTGAAAGCAAAAAGGCACGGTTACTTTCTAGTCCTGAATCCTGGGCAAGCTCATATTGTGTCAGTCTCAAAAGGCAACCCTGTTTTGATTCGGCTAAGTCTGTGGCTTGTTCTAGGTATTTCTCCGAATTGTTTTCCGCTGTCCTTAAGAGCGTCCCTGGCCTTCCTGGTTTGTGCTGTCTAAGTTGCAAGCATTGGCCTAGATTTGCCCCAGTTCCATGGTTGGGGTAGTGGCTTGGTATTTGTCTAGCACATTATTATTTTGACGGGAATTAGTGTAGGTTGTTAGATGTGTTGTTACTAGCCCTTGGCAATGTGTAAACTTGGGCCTGGCCTGCAGCGCTTCGAATCGTGTTGGCTTGGTTGTTTTCAAAATTGGGGCCTGACAATTTGATTGAGCGTTTTTGGACTTGTGGCATTCCTGTCGGTCATGTGTTGGCCATCATGCGAGACACATGAGTATGCTACTTATCGAAGAACGCAAACATGTTTCCTCTGTCGGCTCAGCTTTCTACTCGGGTGGTAGCAAGTATCATGCTTGAGCATACAAGTTGGGTGTCAACACAGAATCTCGGACCCTCCCCCCCAAAAAAAGAAGCATGACAACGTGGTGGTCCTTTTGGCTGCTCGTAAACCCCTGCGAGGTGGCTTTGCGATGGAACCTTCAGCGCGGGCACAGCGTAGTGCCCAAGAGCGGGGGGACCCCAGGACCTGGTTCCGGTCTCTACTAACAAACCATTTCTTGGGATGAAGCCCGACTTGAAAGCGGGATAAACCATGCCAAGGTGGTGACAACCGCCAGTATGGGTTGAATCATTTAGATCATGACGCAATTTGCTTCTGTGATTACTTAGCTGCTCTATTTGGTGTGGAAGTGCCCCACAATTCCATCCTAGTTGTTTAGGCCGTCTCTGGTAAACAGGGGGCTTCGCCGAACTGATGGGCACCCCTATAGCCAGGGCTGGGAATTGAGTCTTGCGGGCTATGCGTGTCGTCTAGTTTTTTTGAAGGCCTTGGCTGGCCGTCAACCGTGCGCGGAGCTTTGAATGCCAGTAGGTGTGCTTGGAAGGGAACCCTGGCCACTTGGCCGCCTTTGTTTGGTCATAAACTCAGTTACACGCCTTCTAAATGGGGCTAGAAGCATGCCAGCCATTTGGCTTCATGTTCATCCGAATGCCTTCGGAAGGCGCAGTGTTGGCAAGTTCAGATTTCCGGGTTCCCACTCTGACTTGGTCCGACGAGAGGGCAGTCTAAAATCGTCATTGTTTTTGTGGGGCCGATTTGGACAGTGCACAACATTTGTATGCGAAACTGACAAAATTGCTGGTAGGTTTGGGGGATGTCCTCTCGCGAAAACAATTCAAGGCCCATGAATGTGTGTGTGTCAATCGCAAAGACAGCACCAGGGTATGACCCGACAGCCACGTCCATTCTTATGTTTCAATGGGGCGTCATGAATTGCTGCAAGCTTTAAGGGTTCGTTGTCAGGACAAGCATGGCAGGATTGAAGGAGCACGCATATGCGTTGGTTGCCCCCTTCTGGGCCTTTGGCACAGTTCCATGGGAAACCTCGTGTGCCATTCCGGGCAAATTTATAGCGACCCAACAGCATATGTTGCACCTCGCCTCACCCACCAATGTCCCTTTCTTGGGATCCCTTTCTTATTGCACGGCAACACATTCACCCAGAGAGGCTGGAACCCCAGCCACATCTGTGAGAACGTGCAGCTCTTCAACTTCAACCTTACCACCGAGGACTGTCGCAAGTTCGTCGGTGTTCTGGCACCTTGCCCAGCTGGTAGCGGGGTGTTCTGGTCCACTTGGAGAGATGCTGCTAGGCGTTGGATCCAGAACATGGCCATCTTTTTTTGCTGGTGTTGAAAGGGAATCCACAGAAATGATACTTGTCGGGATCCCCTATGTTCAAGTGACTTTCCACAATCATGTCACATTTGTGCCAGCATGACGATCTCAGGGTTCAACGCCCTGCTGCCAGCCTGGAACCAAGTGTTACATTTGCCAGCATACTGTAGACCATGGAAGCCTTTCCCATGTGTTTGGTGTTCGCGGCGCATACATCAAACTCGCGTGCACGCGAGTTTGAAGTCGGTACTTCCGTTCCGTGGATTTTCCGTTCACATGAGAGGAGATGGCCGGCATCACCAAGCTCCACAAGGGGGCGTGAGCCCAAAGCGCGGCATGGAAAAAGCGGCGTGGGCGAAGGTGACTCGTGGCCGAGGTGCGCGCGGAGCGCTTCTTCCAGGCATCCTTCAGCACAGCGTCCAAGGCCCGGAACCCGCAAAAAACGCATGGGGGAGGTCTTGGGATACCCTGGTTTCTGTTCAAGGATCCAGCCTCTCAGAACATTGGCAACCCTGGGAAAATGGGGTGGAAGAGAATGGGTGAAGCGAATCAGGAATTAACCGTTGCTTCCGTCCCAGGCGCAGCTCTGAACAACTGCCTTAGACTAGATCACAGCTCAATTCCTGAACGCAGAATGGCATGTAACAATGCAATGCTTGTTTGAGACATTCTGGACCTAGTCTTCTGGAAAGTCTTTAGGGAAGATCCTGGGGGTCAGGGAGGGACCGAACTTACTTTAGTATTGCCGATTCCACTTTAGTCTTGCCAAGGCCCCCTCTCAGATTCCCAGTACTTCCTTTAGTATTGCCAATTCTACTTTACTGTTACCAAGGCCCCCTCTCAGATTCCCAGTACTGACTTTAGTATTGCCAATTTTAATTTTGGTATTTCCAAGGCCCGTTTTACCAGCAATCCCCCAAAATAGTTGAACATTAAAGAGGACCCCTAAACAGTCGCATTAAATAGGATCAAGGCCTCTTGTGGGTACCCCCCTTTGTGCAAATGTTTGCCCTCACTCTTTTTTTATATTACATTTGATCACTGGCAAAATGGATTCCATGATCCAAGGCCTTTATCCGTTGAGCTGGGGAGAGCTTGGTTAGGTGAACCTCCCTTGTAATGTAAAAGGCTAAGGCTTTGATTTGAGAATTTCAGCAGCCCCCCAACATAGTTGGACACGAAAGGGGACCCCAAAACAGTCGCATGAAAGAGGATCAGGGCCTCTTGTGGGCACTCCCCATTGTGCGAATGGTTGCCCTTTCTTTTTTGCAAAGACGTTATCTTGAATTTGGCAGTTTGGGAACCATTCAAAAAAGGGATTCCTAATGGTTGCCCGGATTTGTTTGCCAGACTTCTTTGGCTAGTTGTTTTTGCTCCGGTATTTTTCCTGGCATGTCTGTTTGTTTTTTTTGGGGGGGAACTTGCCACAATAGAGGACCCCAAAACAGTCCAACGATGCTGAATTAGGAAAACAACTCCAACATGAATCCTCATTTTGGAGTTGTTTTTGTTACTAGTGTCAAGTCTGATCAGAAGAACAGACTGTGCTATCCCGGCTGTGAACAGGGCGCTGGTCGCCGCTTTCTGTAGGCTAAGAGAATCCCCGTGACTGCCTAAAGTTACCTTTGCATGGTAATCAAGCACTAAATAGTAGAGCAAGGGGGCGATGTCCAAAACACGGGCAGACCCAAAAATCCTGAACCCTGTGACTTAACCTGGGAGGACCCCAAAATCAAAAGCACGCTGTATCACAGAATGGCCGGTTTTCTGCACTCATGGATAGACCCTTTTAATCCTTGAGAGCCGCGCGGCCTGTGTCTTTCGAAATCAGCCCTTTTTGCCAAAGTATCTTGAAATGGACGGACAGCCAAAAACTATGTTCCAAATGAACCATGGCGCTGCAAATCATGTGAACTGCTGCAAAACACGAGAACATTGTTTTGTTTCATCGAATTTTCTTGGTGCGTACTCTTTTTAAAGCACATTCTAAACGTGTTTTGCTTAGCTCGATTGTACTTCCAGCTCGGTTCCATATTACACGGCTAGCATGTTTCAAGCCTGGTCTTAGATTTGTTTGGCTGATGACGAGTCTTTGAAAGCGCTTGTCGAACTACAAGCATCCAACATCCTAGCAAATGTCTTCGCCAAAATTTGGAGATATGCGCACCACTACCTGAACATCGAACAAGCGCGTACTTGAGACACTGCACTCTCCAGGTAATGGGGGTTTCTCACCACATCCCCACAAAGATACACCACCCTGCACAAAAACATAATGCACCCCGGTTTACCATCGAATTTGCCATATTGCAAAGGTTCACTGATTTGTTGGTTGCTTTTGCTGCCTAGAAGCGGCCTGCCTCTTCCAAGTTCAAGTGAAGGCAGCTGGTGGAGGGCCATTTTTTCAGGATTTGTTTGTTGTTTTGCCGGGGACCGGCAAGCAGGCCCGCGAACGCTGGATGAAGACGGAAGTCAATGCAGGCAGCGTCGCTGAAACACCAATGCCTGCTCAGCCCCGAAGCCCGCAGCAACGCGAGCGGCGCAGCTCCTGAACTCAGCCCTTCGTTCTGAGAAGGTGCTGAGCCAGCCCTTGACCATCAAGGCTGCAGCCGTCAAGGGCGAGCGTTCCACTGCTTTTCAGATCCGCTGTGGGGTTGTCACCGCACGTTTTGTGATCATGTATCATGACAGAAAGCAAATTCTCACGTCGTGCCAGACGGTGCGTGGCAAGCACACAAAACTCAAGTCCGACAAGAAGCTGGGCCGCAGGCCCATAGCCTCGGCCACGGCGCCGCGCGATTCCCGCAGACCGGCGCTACGGCGACCTTGACTGCAGCGCAAAAGTTGCCTCTGCATATAGATTCTCGGCTGCGGGCAGCCGATTGCAAGCTCCGTGTTGTTGACACGCACGCGTCGTGCTCGAGCGTTGTTGCGCATTGAGTTTGCCTTGCTGCGCTGCACGAAGTGCTGCAAATGCCCCCAAAGGTGTGGAACTTCAAATTCAGCACAGACGGCGCAAGCTCTTCGGACGCTACACCTTGCTCATAGCCGGCTTCAACAGCAGCGTGCCTGGTCCTTCTGCAGCTCTTTCATCCCTCTGCGCTACGCCTTTGCTGACGCAGAAGACAACGCAGCTTACACATCCATGATTCACGCGATGCGCAAGAATGACCAGCCACATTTTGCAGTGGCGCGGGGACATGCGCAAAAGCATTGACGCTGCAAGCAGAAACATCGCGCCAAACTCTGTCCGTGCTACAGACTGGGCCCATGTTACCGCGCCACAACCAAGGCCGCAAAGGCTTGTGAGCCCTTGTCATGCAAGCTCACTGGCGCGGATCGTCATGCCTGGCCCTCCAAGTCTTCCACATCTTATGATTTTTCAGCGTGTGCGAAGCCAGCGGCGAGCGCCCGTGGGCTGCGCCTTGGCGAGGGAGCCCAGACAACATCATGCCCTGAGACGCAGGCTCAGCTCCACTGGACAGACGGTCAAGCTAGACCGCGAAGAGTCCTTCACAGTAGCGCGCGCCCTGCAAGCGGCAATCGTTGGCCCGCAGGTGCAAGGGGTTGGGCGATGCAAGACTGGCTTGCCGTCGACCAGCTCATAGACCAATGCCGAAACATCAGGCGCAAAAAGCTGCGGCGAGAGTCTGCTGGCTTCGGGGAGCCACTCTTGCGACGCAGGGACCGCGCAGGCAATGTTTTACTTCTAGCCCCAACATATCCATGCTGAAGGTTGGTTCGTGCAGATCTTTTGTACACAAGAACAGCTTCATATTTCTTCAAGGCTTGCATGCCTGTTCCTTTGGTGCCACAAAAATGCCGCAGAACACTTTGCGTCGTCGTTTCTGCCGCTAGTGCCAAAGCGAAACGTACCTAATTGTCAAAAAATGACCTGCCATGCGGCAGTGTAAGCCTGGCCCGCGACAGAGCACGATCTTGTCTGCCCCGTCCACAAATGATTTTCTGTCTTGGCCAAACCGCCCCAAACTTGCCCCACGCCTCCCTCAAGTTGCCATCCGCGTGTTCCCGTGTTGGGGCGGGTTGGATCCTAACTAAAAGAAGTCACCTATGTGATTTTATTCCAACCCCCCCAACCCCCTTTTCCTTAAAACTCATTTTGGCCGCTGTGAAACACTCTCACAGTTGGACTGAATTCATTTCAATTTAACATGAGGCAGCCCGTGACTTCCCCAGGAAGTGCCGTTTGTTCAAGCCCTTTCAAGGCCTGGAAAATGTTGGACTGCGGCAACTACATTTGGGACAGCGCAAAGCACCAAATAGATTGAATGGGAAATGGATCGGATCGGACCATTCGGCGGGATCAGACCCCATCCCCGGAAATTTCAAGGAAACCATAGTGAGCCCAAAATAACCTTCCGAGTTGAACCGGTGTGCAAAACAAAAATGAGTTGGACCCCCTTGGCCTCATTTTCACCCAAAAATAAAATGTAGTGTTTTTTTTTTTTTTTATCAAACTTGGACTGTTCAAACCAAACCGCCAAAATGAGGTCAACGTGAATCGTGATTTGTTAGCCTATTTTCTGTCAAAGTTGGGCTGTTTCATGTTTATCTAGTCCAAGAAGGATAGACTAGCCCTATTTTATCTTACCAATTGGGGGGTTCAACCTTGTCTGGGGGCCTCTATCGGGGCTAGTTGCCTTAGAGCAACTTTGTGTTGACCCGTTGCCTAACCGAAACAAGCCGAACTGCCCACGACCAACTGGTGATGCTGGGGGTGTCGGAGTGACAAGCGGGCGACACTGGGATGTCGACGGTGCTAGTGTAAAATGCGTGCATTGGTGAGACAACGCTGTAAAATACAGCGCTTCAATGCTCAAGAAACACAGAACAAAATGAACGAACAAATCCCAAATTAAATCTCGACCCGCACCCAGTCTCTGAACATTCAACACCCGTGCAAAATTGCAACAAGGAAAGCAGCCGCATTGGATACAATGCGAACATTGGCAATTTCTTAGCAGCATGCAATGCCATGAGAGAGCTTTTGCATGGGAGAGATCTACCTAGAATTGCCAAACCTGACAAAACCAACGACCTCGAGGAGAACCACAAAAGAAAGATCAAAAAAACAAAAAACAGAGCCTTGAGGGAGAGCTTTTGGGACATGCCCCCCGCCTTCTTTTTTTTTGGTGGGGATTGTTAGTTGCGTTTTGTGTTTTTTTGGCATTTTTTTGTGTCCGTGGTTTTCCTTGCAAAAGTGCAGGTTTGCAAGGCAGCGCAGTTCAGGCAAGACTGAAAAACTGTATTGCAGCAAACCTGTTTTCTGGTGTGACAAACAGGGAGACCTCATGGTGGCCCTTCTGCAACCCTTTAACAGACGGACACCCTCATTTTTCTATGCCCGTTGTTGGTGTCGAACTGACTTTGTTGCCGGTTTCCGGGGGGGGGGGGGGGGCCTGGTTGTTCAGCAACACCATAGGCCATGTCGAAATGATGTTGAAACGTGATGTATGCATGTGTATATATAAGGCACACACAAGCGTGTATATATATATATGACATAGATATGTATATCTGTTTATATATATATATGGTTTGTGAAAACAAACTGTTTCCATGAGGCGCTGCCGCGCATGACCCGTGATGGCTTCGATGAGTGGCTGGCCCAGGTGGCCGGTGAGGCTTCGGATGTTGAAATCACCGTTCCCTGAAGTGGCGCAATCTCGGGCCGGTGGAAAATAGAACCCGCTTCCGTGATACTTTCCGTGATACAACAAAAAACTAATCCCCCATATTAGGCCCATACTTCAATTGTATCACAGAGGCCCCAACCCTGCCCCAAATTGTTGGCTTTTCCTTTTGGTTTCCCTTTAAACACATCAGGCAGCGGGGTTCCCTCCTCCAAAAAACCCCACAACCTTCTGGGCTTGTCAAGAGCAGCCACCTCATGGCAAGAGCTTCCGCGCACAGATAATGGCCCAAAGACAGAGCATAATTTACCATGACCTTGGCATATTGCGACAATGACCACACAGACGTTCTAGATGTTGCTTGCTGTAGAAGAAAGTTATGACGGGACTTGAAAGCAATGTTGACGGAATCTCTTGAAAAGAGTCATGGTCGGCATAGAACCGAAAGAGGTTTATGTCGGATGTTGGGTGCGAAATGCAATGAAACACAACAAAGGAAAACTTCACTTACTCGCACTAACCTGGTGGAGGTTAAATGAAACATCAACTTCTTGAAAACAGACTCAGGCCAGGTGCCAGGTTAGCCAGTGGCCAGTGGGAGGGTAAAATTAGGTCTTGGAAGAATCACGTTCTGGTTCTGGATATCTTGCTATTCCAGCGGCCGAAAGGAATGCAATGAGGCACTTGAGGACGTCAAACTGCTTGCGATGCACTGCTTCCATGAATCTAGAAAACAGTTTTGGATGCGCTTTTTGTGGATTTCACCTGTTCTTCCCTTGTTGGTTCCTTTTTGGTACTCTTTTACTGCTCTTTTAACATCATACAGGGGTGGTTCCACAACAGCCACATCCAAGCCGTTTTCTAGAATGAAGGACGCAAGCAGTTTCTTTGCTCTGTGGTCCATTGAGAAACCTCTAGTAAGTAAGGGTTTATGGGAAGGATCCCAGCCCAAGATCCATGCGTGCCCGGCCTGAGCCATCCTTCGTGTTTTCGGGTGGGGGGGAAGAATGGGACATTTGAAAAAGAAGCCACCATGGCATCATTGAAGTAGTCCCTGGATTTCACACATGCCCAGTTTTGCTTCAATAAGCTATGTCTGGTGTGTGTGTGTGTGTGTGTGGTGCCCAGATGAATGCGATCCGAGTTCGGGGCAGGCCGGTCCATTTCTTGGCGAGGGCGCGGGGCTGAATCAAACATAGCAGATTTCACTCCAAACGTCCTCGCTTTTGGAGACATGGGTGGTTCTCAAATGGACCTTTTGGTTGGGATTTAAAGGGAACCAACAGGAAGCCAAGCACTTTAGAGCTTGAGGGACACGGTTCTCCATCCTTCCGGGTCTTCAGCTTGTTTCGTAGCCAGCCAAATTTTGCGAAGTTTTACACATGCCACACAACAAAATGCTGAATCCGTGTCTCAGGTGCCAAAAGATCCTCAACAAGATCCGCGGACCCAACGGCGCTGTCGCCCCTGGCGGGCCGACCCAGCGAACTCATTCGCAGTAGCACGCTGTTGGTTGCATGGATTTGTTGACGTTGACCGGATAGCACAGCCATATATTAGGCATCGGTGAGAGGAGCCGTATTCGGATGGTGCTGTTCTTTGTTGTTCTCCAACAAGTACCCAGACTGGACTGCAGCCTTCCGCAAAACATTGCAACATGAAAGCATGGGACATGCCACAGCCAAAGCTCTAAACGACTGAAGGCTGGCTGTTGCGATGACATTTTCAGTTTAGGAGCGCAACACTTTGGCATCGACATTTAGTTTCTGAGTTGTTCAAACTCAATTATTCATCCTCATATTGTGTATTAGCATGAGGGATCGACCCCTTGTTGAACAACCCTAAAAGGTTGTACCACCATAACCCCCCGATATTACATAATTATATATATAACATAAAATAAAATAAATGTAAATGTTGGATTGTTTTGAAAACAACAATAATCATATTCATGTGTGTTTGTTCATATTTTCGATATATTGTTAATATTGAGGTAGGTATTAATATATGTTAATAAATTGCATGTTGTCGGTACTTTTTGCAATGTGTTTATTTAATTTAAAAATTGGAGGGTAAAGAAGCCCTAGACAAGGTTAAACTGTCTTCTTTGGTGTCTGGTCTGGGGGTCACTGGGGGAAGTCTTTGAAACCCAGGTTGTGATGTGCTCAGGCATTGCTTTAGCCATTGTCATTCCAATTCAACAGGATCCAAGACACAAAGGCCGCGTGGGGAATAGTTAAGAGCCTGTTCACAGGTGGCCCGTCGTGCCTGTGTTGTTTTGACGTTTCTGACTTGTTTCTCTGCGCGTTAAATAGCCCAAAGGCACAGTGCAAGGCTTGCGATGCCGCAAGACTCTCGTTTCACGTACTGGTCCAGCATGTTGCGCTTGCTTTTGGTGCATCAAGGCATTTGCGGTTTTCGGGGCGCTTTGTTCGCAGGATTTGGCTTGGCATAAAGACGCCTCTCTCAGGTCACGTCCCGCACTTGGACGGCCCAGTGCCTTTGTCGGGCCCCGAGTTTCAGACTGGACAAGGAAGCAACATAGAGACAGGGCCCACCCCCCAAAAGTTCGCAGCCCTTCAAAGAGCTCCCAGGGATGGAGGGATTTGGAGCTCATTGGGGATTGCACGATTGCCAGTCTGACTCTGATGTGCTGGTGCGATACTGTGTGCGTGATTGTGCGTATCGTGAATGTGAGTTTGATGTGATGTGAGAAACGGTGAGGTGGGAGATGAGAGAAGATGGCTATGATGAGGATGATGATGAGGATGATGACAATGATGAGGATGAGGATGAGGAAACATGAGGATGATGGGATGATGAGGATAATGCGGATCGGGATGATGAGGATGACGAGGATGATGATGACGACGACGACGATCGATGCTTGCCATCATGATCATGTTGACCGCGATGACCCTGCCTACCATGATGACCACGATGAGTTTCAGCATGTGGGGAGCCAGTTGCCACAAACTCACAGCCACGGAAAAGCAACGGTGTGCATCACTTCTAGCCCGCGAGTCACCCTCCATCCAGAAAGCCGATGCAGTGGATGAACTTTATATGCAAGTTTTGCATTTGAGGTATGCACCATTGTTCGTGTAGACATGTGGGTGTGTTTTTGTTGGTTGGTTCAAATTGAAACCAAAAGGACAACCCCCAATTTCCCGGATTCGTTGCGGCACTATTAACCAGGCTCCCGCCTGCTGCCGCCGACCCTCGGCGCATTAAGGGAAAAGTCACAAGGACCGGTCCTGAAACACGTCCGCAAACCCAGGGACCACTTATAAGATCCTCTACGACCACAAACAAGGATTAACGGAAAAGTCAGAAATATGGCAGCTAGTCCGTTAATTACCGCTTGGGCCGGCTTGCGCCCAAGTCACTTCGAGTTGGCCCGGGAGCAGTCGCCTCTCCCGGGGTCGCCCTGAAACTGGCCCTCCCGAAGTTGCCCTGGACCGGTCGCCGGCAGCAGGCTGGTCCCAGTCTGGCGCGGTTTGACTTGACGTATTGGACTCTCTTGCAGAATAGATCCAGGGATCCTCTACTACCACAATACCGCACCGGTTTGGTCGCAGGGAGTGACGACCTGGGACCCTGTCCAGTGTCCTGGGTGCCAGTCCGGAAAGGTGTCTGGAGCGGTTTGAGGTGGCAGCACAGCAGTTTGAATTGGGACCCAATACCAGCGGTCACACCAGGACTCGATCCCGGACCGGGACTGGTCCCACCCCAGGACCGGTCTGGAGACCGGTCCTGGGACGGTCCGGACCCTGTCCCAGGACCAAACCCGGTCCTGGGACTGGTCCAGGACCAGTCCCAGGACCGGTCCTGGGACTGGTCCTGGGACCGGTCCTGGGACCGGTCCCGGGACCGGTCCCAGGACCGGTTTTGGCTGACTACAAGTAATCTGAAACAGCAGAACCAGGGTCCCAGGACCAGTTGCAGGACCGGTCCCAGGACTGGTCCCAGGACTGGTCCCAGGACCGGTCCCGGGACCGGTCCCGGGACCGGTCCTGGGAATCCACTTTTTGTGGGTTCGGGCGTGTTTCCCAGGGACTATCATTGATTCCAATCACTTCCAGTTGCATCCCACGCCGGTCCCCTCTGCAGGAGGCTGGGACGGGAGGCAGAGGGTCGGCGGATTTGGCATGGCGTTTTACAGATACTCTCCCGCAGATTGACATGGAACCCCCAAAACCGCCCCGTTTTGTTGTAATCTCGCTTGGATTGGATGGACCCTGGGTTCCATGCGCAAGTTAGGGAGTAGCCAAAAGCAACACACGGCCCAGGCCCGCAGATGTGGCACAGCGTGGCGGTCACGACAGCGGAGAGAAGGCAGCTTCGTGTTTGGGTTGCCCGCAGCTGCCAGCATGGTCGGGTGGGCGCCCAGGTGGATGCGTCTCGCTGTCGCGGGCGAAATTCTTAGCTTTCCCAAATGGAAACCAACAGGGGATGTTGTTTTACAACGAAAATTACCAGGACCCTATTTTAACACCCAGTCCTGAGGATACCCGTTTGCAGACTTCTGCAGGGTTGTTCCAAAGCAGAGCCAACCGGAAAAGGCAGTCAGGTGCAATGCGCAGTGCTCTCCGCCCTGTGGCTTTTGGGATGGTTGAACAGCCTTGGGCTCGTCAAAATAGAGTGTACCCCAAAACGGTGGTGTTCTTTTTGGTTTTTCTTGAACCCGAAAACAAGGCAACGCACCCATACTGTTGTGCCTGGGGTGCAGACAGAGCTGAGATAGATTGTAGATTGGCTGGTTTCCCCCGCATTTGCCATGGGCATCATGAAGCGAGTTTCGGCAAACGTAACTGAAGAAATGGCACTCGTGCTGCATCTTCGATTGAGCGGTCTTGTTGCATATTGAGCAACATTGATGATTTTGTTGCTTTTGCTCTATATGACCACAACGCGCTCAAGAACGAGTAATTAGCACCCTCCCAGTTGTCTACTCGCATGCGGGCACATCAACACTTGCGTTTGCCTTGAGCTTCACTCACGTACTTATAGATATATATCTTCCTTCTGCATCCTTATAGAGTCACTGAGTGACTCTGCCGCAGTTTTTGCACCAGAGTGCAAAACGCAACCAGCTGGAGAGTTCTTTTCGTCAAGAAATCCTCTCCCCGTAATAATACACCGTCCCCACGTCCCCTAGTAGTACTTTGTTAGGGGTTGAATTATTTGGGTCCCCGGGTTTTGGGCCAGATGTTTCAGACTGGCATCAAATGGGAAAGGTGACCTCTTTGATTTGCAGAAAAGTGTTCAAAATGCAAATTTCCAAGTAAGAACTTTTTAACGGGAAGGTGCCCTTGTTTTTTTCAACAAGAACCCAAACAACAAACACTTTGGTGTGTTGTCACAAACAGACCTTATGAAGGGAACTTAAGGAGAACCTAATGGAGACCCTAATGCAGGACTCAGGGTGACCCGAACAAGCACATTTGCAGGGTTTCGCTGAGTGGATGTGGTTTCGGGAGAGTTTAGTTGAGTATTGGGCAATTTGAAATAAGTATTGGCAATTTTGGGGGCCGGTGTGCTTCGTTATTAGGGGAAGGTTAATTAATAGGAAGAAGGGATTAATTGTCTTCCAGGCATGACACATGCAGAAGTGCGAAACACTGAGCTTGTCATCAGCTGGATCCTGATTGGCCTCTTCTGCAGATCTTCTGCAGTGCCTTGAGTGCTACGATCGGCAATGAGCAGGAGCAACAGTTGTTGTTTTTTCTTACAGCTAGCAACACTGTCTACTGTTTTGCTTTTGGGGCTTCGCCCAAATCCCTCCGCCCGCATCCTTGCTGGTTTGTTTCCCCAAGAGCAATACCCTTGGCCGTATTCGGAACGGCTGTCAGATCCGAAAACAAAAAAGTGGCTCTCGTTTTCCGGCGAAGTGTTTGGTTTTTGCGGTGTGAAAAGCTCATCATACAGAGGTTCACGCAGCATTTGGGTATGAAAAGGCCTGCCAGGGTGTCTTTTTGCCTACCAAGGATGACCCGATTGTCGCACCTTGTGTTAGTCACATTTCCAGTTCAGTTCTCCTTGTTCGGCGTCCAACTCGAGGGTCAACCCCAAGAGTTCCCCTTGATTGAAGCCACGGGATTTGGGCCTTAATTTATGGAAACCAAGTGGAAATTTGTACGCGTTTTACTCAAAACCCGGGTGGGGGGCTGACCTTTCTTATATTATGGCGTTTCAGAAAGCCAGGGTGAAACGTTTTTTTTTTGGTCCGAGCATTGCTTTCCGGCTGCTTCAGGTGGACTGGGAAAAGCTCGGCTTTCATCGACCTGTGGAGGCGGGAATGAGATGGAATTTGAATTGAAATCCTTGGACCGATTTTGGGACGCAACCGGCGCCGTGAAGTGTCCTAGTGTAGTTTATAGCAACTTGCCCACACGGAATGCACCTGAACTTGTCGCATGTTGTACACTGTCTTGCCGGACTTGCCCGCGAAGAGAAATCAATCGCAGGGTCGGGTGGAAGGGCCAGCAATGGGGGTCGTTTTGGGGCATGCAGTAGAATAGATGGCGTGGGCACAACCAACTGAGCACAGCTTCTCTTCAGAGAGTCGAGAAATCTTGCCAGAGACTCCTCAGCAACTATTACCGAGTTACCTCTGTAGGTATTATGAGTTCCGGACCCTTTTTCGGTTGGCGAAAATTCCTACAGTTCACCCCATGCACATCAGCTTCTAGCAGAGAAACACGGCCCCATCAGCAGCCAAGGTCAACCTGAACAAAATGCCCGACATTCTTGCAGCAACTTTTCCTCTCCTGCCTTGACTGCTGAATCTAGCTGTGCAGCTCCTGAGATGCAGTTTGCCTTTTTGCAGAGCTGAAAGTGTTTCTCCCGGGGCTGTGTGGCAGGCCTCAAGCTGGAGCCCGTCGGATTTTGACGTTGCTAGGCATGTGCTAAAATATCTCAATGGCCTCGTTGCCAGCACGTTTCAGTTCGCGCCGGAACTCAGCCGATTGTAAGTCTTTCATGATGAGTAACTTGCCAGTCAGCGGACTTGGCCTTGCCTTTAAATCTGTGAGCCCCACACAAATGTTTGTTGCTGAAAGAGCTCCTCTGAACCAACCCCCAAACGGCTACCCTCGACAAAGGGCACATTCATTTCTGAATTGAAGTGTACTGACCATCACTTTTGGATGGTACATTCCTTTTAGACATGAAGCCCAACAAATTTGTCCCATGGTGTAGCCAAAGGGTGTCCCCTCCATGGATCTTTTTGGGGGTTCCGTGACAGGCGCCCAGTGGGCTCGGAAAATCTTGCCAGGAGGAGCCTGGCTTCTGGCGCCGCATGGGCTTGGCCACCGGCAAGGGGATGGATGGCAAGGGCAAGGGCAAAGGCCCGGACCGAGCCAACAAGAATCCATCCAGCTGCCGGGGGTTTTTGTTGAACAAAGTTTCGACGGGGTGCCAAAAGGGCCAGAGGGGGGGGGGGATTCCCTGATGTCCAGTTTGGGAATTCTATGCTGTGTGTGTGCGCCCTAGCGCGTGTGTGTGTGTGTGTGTGTGTGTGTGTGTGTGTGTGTGTGTGTGTGTGTGTGTGTGTGGGCGTGGGCGTGGGTGTGGGTGTGGGTGTGGGTGTGGGTGTGGGTGTGGGTGTGGGTGTGGGGGTGGGTGGGTGGGTGGGTGGGTGGGTGGGTGGGTGGGTGGGTGGGTGGGTGGGTGGGTAGGGTGGGTGGGTGGGTGTGTCTGTGTGTGTGTGTGTGTGTGTGTGTGTGTGTGTGTGTGTGTGTGTGTGTGTGTGTGTGTGTGTGTGTGTGTGTGTGTGTGTGTGTGTGTGTGTGTGTGTGTGTGTGTGTGTGTGTGTGTGTGTGTGTGTGTGTGTGTGTGTGTGTGTGTGTGTGTGTGTGTGTGTGTGTGTGTGTGTGTGTGTGTGTGTGTGTGTGTGTGTGTGTGTGTGTGTGTGTGTGTGTGTGTGTGTGTGTGTGTGTGTGTGTGTGTGTGTGTGTGTGTGTGTGTGTGTGTGTGTGTGTGTGTGTGTGTGTGTGTGTGTGTGTGTGTGTGTGTGTGTGTGTGTGTGTGTGTGTGTGTGTGTGTGTGTGTGTGTGTGTGTGTGTGTGTGTGTGTGTGTGTGTGTGTGTGTGTGTGTGTGTGTGTGTGTGTGTGTGTGTGTGTGTGTGTCTGTGTGTGTCTGTGTGTGTCTGTGTGTGTCTGTGTGTGTCTGTGTGTGTCTGTGTGTGTGTGTGTGTGTGCGTGTGTGTGCGTGTGTGCGTGCGTGCGTGCGTGCGTGCGTGCGTGCGTGTTTGTGTGTGTGTGTGTGTGTCTGGTAGATGGGCGCGCGGGCTGATGTGTCATGAGCGAGCTCATTGAGTACCTTTTCCACCCAGTTGAGCAATGCATGCACGTCAATGCGAAACTTAGCTTTCCACTTGACACGCGCACCTTTCTTGGAACGCCTTGAAATAGGGGGCAGCCCGACCAGCTCAAAGCACTGCTGGCGGCACTTGGCAGTCGTGCCATTATCATGGTTGATTTGGGTGTCGATCTGTGCAGCAATAGAGCAGCGAAGGGCCTCCACTTCCGATAGAATGTTTGGTTGTTGTTGGGTATGCGTCACACGCCCACACCCGCACACACACACACAACCGACACACACGCACAGGCGCACCAAGAGACATGTTTGCAGTCGCAAGACGCTTGGTGAGTATTCATACTATTGGTCTTGGACATGACGAGTGTTGGTGCGTGCTGTTGTTAGCTTTGTTCACTGTCCAACTGTGATGTCCCCCATTGCCCGGAATTCCCGGTGGATGGTTCTAGCATGGTGCATAGCTGAAATGAAGGACCCCTGATCCGGAGTCGATGCTTGAACCAGGGTGCCCTTCCACACACACGCTCTCCTTTGTGACAAGGTTAATGTATAGAGGTGACAGGCCTGCTAATCAATCAATGGGAATGACATCTGGAAATGGAAAAAAACAAAACCAGGTCGCCGGAACCGACCTTGTGAATTGGGATGTTTCCCCATCAAGGATGCCCTTTTCCATTCACCACGCCCACGTTGTGTTTTCATCAGCAGTCTAATCCTTCCCCTTACAGCAACACCCTCGCTCCGCGGGATTCCCTTTTTCACGCTCGCACAGGCCGCTTTCCTGAGCTGAAGGAGGGTTTGCCCGTAGGTGGCAAGGGCGTCCCACGGCCCGCCATGGTGGGATACAGATGACGGCGTTTTGCACTGTTTCTCAAATGTAGTGTTGTCCTTCAAGGATTTTACTGAGGTTTCAAAGGGCTAAACTCCTTGCCTGTTTGATTAAACCACCCAATTGTTTCTGACTTTTGCATCGAGTTCTATGCCAAGGGTGATGCATTGTCCGTTGCCATCATGAGTCCCACCCCTCAGATAATGCTTGGCTGCGTTTGCAGCCTTGGTTCTCGTCGCGCACGTGAGTCGCAATCACGGCGGATGGCAAAAGCGAACTGACTGGACATGCTGCGTTGAGATGGGCCGCATGTTTGTGCGCCAAAGGGACAGGTAAGATGTTTCATGGAGGTTGCCACAAGCCCCTTTTGCAGCAATATCACTTTTGGGAAACAAACACCATCCATTTGTGCCGGGGGTCAGGGGAAATCTCGCCAGCCTTGGGCGGCACATGTGCCATGGTCAAGCGCCCCTGAAGAATCGGGCGGTCATGGCTCTCTCAAAAAAGTTTAGACCATGATAGGCATGTTAACTAAGGGACGTGGTCCACATGGAAGTCTTATCCTCATGGGTCAAATCGCACGAGGTGCAGCTCTCCTCCTGCAAGCAGAAGGAGGAGGAGGCCATGTCAGACGGGTTCCCTAGTCCTGCGCTTTTGCTATTTCGATCATTAGCTTTTGGTTGCCAACTGTGTCATGTGTTTAAGGTTGGACATATAGGGAATTCCGAAGGCAACAGGGTACCAGAACCCTGTGAAACATCTACAAGTGGATATGCAAACACATGCGAGACGGAGGGTTGGCGTCGTGCTAGCAATTTGGATGCTGAACTGTGAGATGATTCCAACTTGTCCATTAGCTTGAGAATGACTCTTGCTGTCACTGGAAACTCCCGCAGAAACTGCTTGGGAACCTTTGGGTCGTCATGTCACCCAGTGCTCCCACCAAACGCCCGGCTGGCATCTTCACTCCGCATTGCACCGCGTGCCCATTGGTCGCTCTCGCCAGACGCAGCAGAAGCTGCACCGTGCAGAGGCTCGCAGTAGCACGTGCAGGGGACCAGCATGGCGTCATACAGACAACGGGCTGGATAACAATATCCGCATTTATGTTTGCTCGGATGTTTGTACTAGACTCTTAGAGATGTCCGTTGTATGCAACGTACTTGATGGATGTCAAAGGTAACATCCAGCAATGATGCATCACAATGCACCACAAAGCACCACGATGCATCACAATGCATAAAGTTGATCTTGTTGGTGTAGTTGCTGACTTGCAAAGGCCCGTTGGGTTGACCAAGTGGTCAGGGGTGCTCCTTGTTTGCGCCATGGGGAAAGTTGGGGGACCTTCCGATGGGAAGCGTTTGATACGTGGCTTCGAAGTACAGACCCGAGACGTTGCGACCACTAGGACTCCAATTCGACATAGGATTGGCCCTGTTGCTCGGTAGTCAAAGTGTTCTAGCCCCAGCAAAAGAGATGAACCTCTCGTGGTTTGGGTTTGCTTTGCCATTGAGGAAGCGGGGCCTGGGCGAGGGGGGGTTGAAGCCATCCAACGTGTTTGTGCGTGAGTTGTCTCAGAGAGGCCTGGCTTGCTCATACAAGCAGCCACGGAGGAAGCCAGTTGGCCAAAAGCGTGCGCAGCTGTTTTTTCGTCATGCAGGAACCCGTATACCTGTTTATGTTGCAAGCAAGCTGTTTCTGTTAAGAAGAGACGCGTGGGTACGTTGCTCCCACTGGTTATGAGCCAGTTCATGGCAGCCGCAATCTTTGCGAAGAGACGTGGAGCGTTGCTTGCGTTCAGGCAGATCGAGTGCGGCTGGAGACCCTGCCTCTTGGCCGAAGTCTGATTGGATGCAATAGGCGTTGCTGTTGAGTTGAATTGTGGTTTTGTTTCCCAATGGAGCAGCGCAGAGTGATGTGGACAAGCACCCAAAGGGTAGAAGCGGCTTTGAGTGCCGTGTTTGTTTCCAGATGTGTGTTTTAGATGTTAACCTTGAGAGGCTCATGCTGACCCATTGACAGCAGTTGCCAGTACAGACTTATAACCCGAAAAAGGGACCGGTGAAAAAAGACAGACACAGGTTCTTCAGAAAGCAGTCATCGCCAAGTGCGAGTGTGCAATTCCCCAGCCCCTCCCCTTTCCCCAAAAGCAATGTTGAAGCCACCAGTATTCAACATGAATTCAGACGGCTGCGTGTTTCCCAACAGGTCTTCGTGAACGGCGTCTTCAACGTTCCTGCTGTTTTCATTTGTTAGTTTTTTTGGGGTGGGGGTGGTGGATTGGGGGGGGGGCATGGGGCGTCTGGATTCATATCAACTTTGAGTTTTAGGGATGTTTTGTTGATTCTGTTGTTTTTGTGTTTGTGTTTGTTCTGTTTGTCTGTTTGTCTGTTTCACTGCGTGTTTGATTGCCTGTTTCTTTGTTTGCTTGCATGCTTGCTTGTTTGGTTGCCTGAGTATTTGTTTGATTGTTCCCCAAATAGTGTTTACACTAAGGGGTTCTTACGGTAAGAGTTAAGGCCTGGTGTAGATCGAGGTGCGGGCTCAAAGTGCTGGCCCTGTGCGTAAAAAGTTGTCTTCGGTGCGACAGTCTCGCACGAAATGCAGGTGCGGACCAGTGCGTGCGTCTCGTTGTGGTGCCATTCGCATTTTTGTTTTTTGCTGGCAGGGACAACAGTTTGGAGGTACGCGCTAGAAGCCTCGTGCCAAGCGCGTTTTTTTGAAGCAAAAAACATTTGTTGCTGGCAGGGGCGTGTCACACGAGGTTCGCGCTGCGACGCGGGGTCTGTTTTTCGAGGAAGCCTCGTGCCAAGCGCTCTCGCTGTCGCGCCGTGAAAACGTGTCTTGAGCTCGGCGAACCCTCTGTGGAGATCGTGCGTGTCGAAGCGCTCGCTTGTTTGTTTTGATTGATTGTTTGCTTGCTTGTTTGGTGGCCCGGGTGGTTGTTTAAATTGTATGTTTGTTTGTTTGGTTGGTTGGTTGGTTGGTTGGTTGGTTTGTTTGTTTGTTTGTGTTTTGTTTTACATATGTACACACTTTGAGAACGCGGTATTGCTATGCAATTGGTCTTTATGTTTGCAATCTCGATGGTTCGGAGAGCTGTTTCTCAACGCCACGCAGCTTGACCATGGCCACTTGGTCTGCTCAATGCCGAATCTCCGGAGCGCCCTAGTCCAGACTGTTCCAATGTTTTTTTGGCGTTGTTTTCTTGGGGGGGGGGGGCGCAAACATAGTCATCAAACAGCATGCTGTCACTGTTGTGATTAAGGTGGGGGTCATTGATCCACTTCCCACCTCAATAAATGGGCTGCAGGCCCTGGTTTTGGGGGTGATGTTTCAAGGGGACAAGAATACCAAGCAGCGCTGTTATCATGAAACTTCGTTTTCAACTGCCCCACAACCCCGTTCTACTTATCTCGGACTTTACAGTAAACCGAGTGGTTGGCCAAATTGGTGCCCTCAGGATTGTGACTGTGGAGCAGCAGTGGTAGCCCCAGATTGCTCTCTTGCCGGGCGCGGTCGCCGAATCGGTGGGTGTGTTCCTCCGAGTTTTGCAGCACTTCGGTTTTTGGTGGTAAAACTGTCATGCGTGGTAATCGTTCACACATTGTGGCTTAAGGTTCCACACTACACTGTGGAACCTTACGCAAAAACATGATTCCACACCATCAGAGTGGTTGAGATTCCTTTTCGGTTAGTCTCAATTCTCAACAACTCCAAGCCATAGGCCACACATGCAGCCCAATATTCCTGGAAATGCTGAGTATTTCGCTGGCTACTCGTTTATCATGGGAATTGTTTCGTGAAGCAGCTATATGTTCGCCATGTTGCCGAGTGGCATGAGCCATCACTTATCCTTCTAGCTGATACCTTCTCTTCGCTCCTGGGATACTTTGTCACTGTTCAGAACACTTTGCAGTTTTGTGTTTTTTCTAAGGGGCCGGGTGGGAAACAACTGATGGGACCCAAATTGGCATCCTTGCCTTGATTCCGACTGAGAATTGTCGGGTGGCCTGGTGGGCTGCTGGGTGGGTTGGTTTGGGGTGGGGCTGGGGTTGGGGTGGGCTTGTGGAAGTCCTTAGATGGGAACACGGCGTTTGCTGTGAACACAGGATTCCGGGCCATGTCATACCATGGCCACTTTGCACCTTTGTGCGAAGATCTGCCGGCTGAACTTCGCCAAGCACATTGCTCCGTGATCTAGGCTCCACATTTGCGCTCATCCTGTTCCACTCGGCAAAGCGCCTTTCACGAACTCAAGCAGAGCTGGAGAAGCTCAAAGAAAAGGAACTCGTGACGATGTCCCTGTGCCGTGAGGACCCGCGTGTGACCAAGGGCAAGGGAAAATCTCGAGTGGCAAAGTTAGTTCTCATTCTGGATGCACCTCCTCAAGCTTGGCTTCTTGGAGAATATTGGTCCGATTCAGTGTTTGCAGCGGGCCAAGTTTCAGTTGGCTATAAGATTTAGTGGAGCACCCCCCGGCACTGGTTGATGTGATTTGGTGCGCATAAATCCATCGATGGACATGGAGATTTAACCAATTTGTCTGCCATACCCAGACAGTCATCGAGATGGCCCGCTTTGGCATCGTACAATATAAGGGGCTAGTTTTCCACAGACATGCCATGCTTGATGGCAAAACATAAGGCTAGTGTGAATATATGTTAAGCTTAGCAAGTCCGTGGCTCGTGGGCGTTTTGGCAGCGCCGCTTAGTATACCCGCACAGCCATATGCTGCCTATTATGTCTTAACACGCGGGTGCTTGTTGCAGATGTGGGCATTCCACACAGGGAGCCTCTTGGGATGGCGTTTCAATTAAACAGCAACCACCCATTTGGCTGTGGGTCAAAATCAATGGTACCATTTTGGGGTAAGTGCACCACCCATTTTAGTCTATTTTAGTGGAGATTGGGATGTTCACTGGGGGTACCGGCTTTTGACCCACGGCCTTTTTTTGACACCCAGATCTGGTGATCTTAGGTGCAACTCCTTGCGTGCGGTGCCCAGACGCTTCTCGGGCCT